AGTAAGACCACCCTCGGTTCAACAATAGTGATCGATTTTTAAGGTTTAACTTCAAATATTTTTTGTGTTATTTAGTCATAACAAAACCGTTGTGTACTTAAAATAAACCTTGCTGTTGTTGTCTCTCTATGCACCTGTTCTCATATGACCCTGACTGTTGGTGATTCCTTAGCCAACCGTCTTCTGGCTGTTAGTATCTCCCTAGATACAAGTCCTTATACACACAAAGCTGTGAGTGTCTCTCTAGACACCCGTCTTCTGGCTGTTAGTGTCTCCCTAGATACAAGTCCTTATACAAGAAAAGCTGTGAGTGTCTCCCTAGAAACCCGTCCTGTGGCTGTTGGTGTCTCCCTAGCTACGAGTCCTTCTATGAGCAAATATGTGAGTGTTTCTCTAGACATCCGTCCTCTTGCTGTTGATGTGTCCCTAGATATGCGTCTTCGTATGAGATGATTGTTGAGATCTCCTTAGATACGAGTCCTCTGGTTATTGATGTCTCCTTGATATCCGGTCTCATATGAGCCGGCTGTCGGTGTCTTCTTAGCTAACCAACCTGTGGCTGTGTGTGTCGCCCTGGATGCTCATCCTTTGACTGTTGGTCGTCCTCAAATGAGATTGGCTGTTTGTGTCTCCCTTGACACCAATCCTCCTTTGGCTGTTTGTGTCTTCCTAGATGCGCGCCCTCATATGAGGCAGCCTGCTGCTGTCTCTATACCTAACCGTCCTCCAACTGTTGGTGTCTTCCTAAACGTCCGTCCTCCTTAGAGACGAGTCCTCTGGTTATTGGTGTCTCCTTGACATCCGGTCTCATATGAGCCGGTTGTTGGTGTCTCCTCAGCCATTTTGTGACTTTGTTTGTTTCCTTAGACATCCGTCACTGGCTATTGCTGTTTCCTCAGTCAACCGTTCTCTGACTGTTTGTGTCCCCTTAGTCAACCGTCCTCTGACTGTTGGTGTCCCCTTAGTCAACCGTCCTCTGGTTGTTGGTGTCTCCTTTGTCAACCGTCCTCTGGCTGTTGGTGTCCCCTTAGTCAACCGTCCTCTGGCTGTTGATGTCTCCTTTGTCAATCGTCCTCTGACGGTTGGTGTCCCCTTAGTCAACCGTCATCTGACTATTGATGTCCCCATAGTCATCCGTCACTGGCTATTGCTGTTTCCTCAGTCAACCGTCATCTGACTGTTGGTGTCCCCCTAGTCAGCCGTCCTCTGGCTGTTGGTGTCCAATTAGTCAATCGTCCTCTGACTTTTGGTGTCCCCTCAGTCAATCGTCCTCTGACTGTTGGTGTCCCCTCAGTCAATCGTCCTCTGACTGTTGGTGTCCCCTTAGTCAATTGTCCTCTGGCTGTTGGTGTCCCCTTAGTCAATTGTCCTCTGACTGTTGGTGTCCCCTTAGTCAATTGTCCTCTGGCTGTTGGTGTCCCCTTAGTCAACCGTCCTCTGGCTGTTGGTGTCCCCTTAGCCAATCGTCCTCTGGCTGTTGGTATCCCCTTAGTCAACCGTCCTCTGACTGTTGGTGTCCCCTTAGTCAACTGTCCTCTGTCTGTTGGTGTCCCCATAGTCAACCGTCCTCTGGCTGTTGGTGTCCCCTTAGTCAATCGTCCTCTGGCTGTTGGTGTCCCCATAGTCAACCGTCCTCTGGCTGTTGGTGTCCCCTTAGTCAACCGTCCTCTAACTGTTGGTGTCCTCCTAGTCAACCGTCCTCTGGCTGTTGGTGTCCCCTTAGTCAATCGTCCTCTGGCTGTTGGTGTCCCCCTAGTCAACCGTCCTCTGTCTGTTGGTGTCCCCTTAGTCAATCGTCCTCTGGCTGATAAAACTAACTGAATTGAGATATGATGGAAAAACGTTAAGGGATACGGATGATATTTTGAAAGGTTGGTCTTTTTATTTTCAGAATATTTTCAAAAATCACGACGTTGAAGAATTTGACAGTAGTTTCCACAAGGAAATCAAAGACAGAATTAAAAAGATAAAATTGAATATCTGTTTCGATAAAGATATGTTTTTATACGATGCTTTTCCTTACCAAGAAATCAACCTTGTATTTAAAAAGTTAAAATCAAGTAAAGCAGGCGGGCATGAAGGTCTCGTATATGAACATGTAAAATATGCAGGAAAACCTCTAATTCACCATATACAGAATTTATTCAGTCTTGTTGTTAAACACGAATATATACTAAAGACTGGAAACAGGGCATCATAGTAACTGTACACAAGTGCCATGGGAAGCCTTAAGAAGATCCCAATAGTTATAGGGGAATAACACTTTTGCTGGTATTTAAATTTTTGTTTTGAAATTGCTTTTGCAAATAGAATTACTGAAATAATTGAGTCTGATATATTTCCGAACAAACAACAGTCAGCATATCAGAAAAATTAATGCAGTCTCTGTACAACGTTTGATTTGTAAGAATACATACACTTTAATATGGAATATGGTTAGGATGTATATGTGTTATTTTTGGACAGCACAGTGGCTGTCGATACTTTTTTGGCACGACGATTTATTAGTTAAATTATACGACATTGGTCTCACGGGTAAAGTATGGAATATACTGAGAGATATGTAAACAGATGTAAAAAGTTCTGTTGTATTTAATGGCGTATTCTCTTCAGCACTGAAAATGGAAAGAGGAATTTTACAAGGTGGGACCGTATCCGCCAAAATGTACTTAGGTTTTATCAATGAACTGTTAAATGAAGTTGAAAATTCTGGTTGGGGTGCAAGAATAACTGACATACCTGTAAATATTCCAACCCAAGCAGATTATGTTTGTTTAGTAAGTACCAATATTGTGAGTCTACAGAAAATGTTAAATATCTGTGAATCCTACAGTCGGGGTTCATGTATTCAGCATCAAAGAGTAAAATTGTTGTATTTTCAAACAAAAGAATTGTAGATATAAACCATAATTTCTACCTCTATAACAGTGTATCATCAGTTGTTGCAGATGTTCTAATGAACTGTAAACATAATTCCATTGAAAGAACAAAATCTGCTTGTAGTAAATTAAAAAGTAGTGTAATGGCCCTTTTACGCTCAGGCGCCCATCAGTGTGCTCTAAACCCATGAACAGTTTCAAAAAGTATGAAATTAAATTTGTTTGCTTTCGAGTACTGAGATACTGATGTTAGAAAGGGCCCAGCGCTTTATTGTAAAGTCAATCCAAGGTCTAGATAATAGAACAAGAACTGACATGTGTACCTCTCTACTTGGGTTGACGTCAATAGAAGCGTACATAGATACTAAAAAGCTTTTGTTTCTGGGCAGAATATGTAGAATGAAAAGAAGTAATTTGACTAGTAATTTTTTATTGTAAGGTGCTTTTTGTATACAATTAACGAATATTCCAAAATGGTTATATACCTGATACTGTCGGAATCCTCAAAATGTGATTCATTCCAGCATTTTGAACTTTTACTAGATGATGGTACTTTCCCAAACAAAACACATTGGAAGAAACTGATCTATAATTCTGTAAAAGACTACGAAACAAACGCCTGGTTGCAAAGAATGTCTAACGATGCAGATTTTTTCACGATTCAAACTACTGCACGATTGTTTAAGACCACACTGTTTGTGGAAACTAGCTCTGTATCACCCTAGTTCTCTCGACAATTTTCGTTATGTAATCAAACTTATTGTTTCCATACGGAATTTAAATATACAATGCTTGTGTCATTATTGTGAATATTTTCATAAAGACATTGTGAATCATACGATTTATATTTTTCAAAAATTGACCGTGATGACTTATGGTGCGCAATTGTGTCCTTTTCGGGTTTGAATTTATTTCATACTTACTATCATTTTACTAGTAAACCCTCTGGCCTATAAGCTAGACAAACACCATTTAGAACAATGTAGACTGAAGTCAGCATGTTCTATAAAAAGGATGCTGGAAGTATATAGTTATGTATAGCGTTGTACATTAAAAGGCTTAATGTATATAAACTTAAAACATGTATCATTTTGACATAAATGCTTAGTGTGTAATTACTTCATCACATTATAATTGATAAGGTCACTCTTCACGGAGTACATGTATTATGTTCAACCAAACTTAATGTAGAATTAACGCATTCTATGCATAGTCAGAATTTGTATAGTTTACATTATTTTTCACTTTAATTGCACGTTTTTCATATTATATTTGTATGCTCTTCATATTTGGAGGAAATAAAGACAATAATAATACATATATGACTCTGAGGACGTACAATGATATACAACCCCATAAGTAAACAAGAATATATGTAATGCGTGTTTGTATGGTGAAGATGTGTTTCCTCGATGTCGATTATATGGCTGTTGTAATGATGATGACACTTAAAAAGGTATCGTGTCCAAGGGGAAATAACCTCGGCAGATATCGTGTAGAACTTCGGTACCTCTTGAAAGAATATATATAAATGTGTAATTAAAAGTGTTTTATTTATTATTAGATTATATCGTAATATTACAACAAAACTCATCATTGACTCTAAATGGTTGTTGTCTTCCTCTAATACAGTGCAGCCCTCTAAAGAGTTTGTTGTACGATTTTTTTATAATATCATTTTGTCTATTTGAGATATAACGTGGAAGATGAAATCTGTAGATAACATTTTGTTTAAAAATGGCATTCTTCGACATAAAAGTAATTCTTTTGCGAATTATATCATCGGCTAGGTCTCTGATTTACGTTATTAGTTAATATTGACTATTTGCAACATTATTTCTTTGTGTCAATATTTTTGAAATAATTAAAATCATTAAGAAAGATTCGTTTTAGGAAATATAGACAGGTTAAAGAAATATTCAGTATAGCCTATCGTGGCTTTTTATCACCGAAAACTCTTATCGTTAACTTTCTTCTTTTGTCCCACTGACCATCAGCAACTTTGCATAACAAGCGTATATCGATAACTGTTCAATCTATAGAGAACCAATATATTTCCGGACTATTCCATACCATTTGACAAACTTTTACTAGAATTGGGTATAGCATTTCCGGTGTAAACATGGCGGAGAGGGTCGACTTTGCTGAGGTAAATATTTTATTCATTATAAGGGATTATTCGATCTTTGTACTTGCCATTCTAGCGCACATACTAGACACAGGATATTTTTCTTTTATGTCACGTTCAGTAATATTCTTGAACAGTGTTTGCTCTTTAAAAATATTTGAGTACGTCTCCAGTTTTGACGAATTAGTGTACAGATGCAGTCAACAAATTTGTAATGATGATAACATTGTTATGAAGTTGTGAAACAGAAAGATTCATTATAGATAAATCATATTATCGTAATCAAATCTAGTTATAATAGCATGCAAATTCGTGATTTGTCAACGTCGTAAAAGAAGGAAAATGTCCGGAGAATGACTTGTCACCTATTTTGACGGAAATGATTTTCACTTTGTAACACTTTCCTTAATATAAACTTATACTTTATTGATGTGTGCTGCAACTTCTATTCAAATACTTTAGAATTATCTAATGGTTTTCCATTGAATGTCATAATAAATGATTCACTAGTATGACATTTAATCAGTATTTTATACTTATTTAACTTTGCATAGACTTGAAATAATGTTTGTAAAAAATATAAATTATATATAAAAGATTAATGAATTATAAATAATCATGTAAAAAATCAAATAGCATTTAGGTGTATGGGAGTTAAAGCCTGATCTGATTCTATAGTATTTTTTTTCTTTTTTTTTTGTGCATGTAAATTGAATAAATATACTGAATGCAAGATAACATTTAGAGGAATAAATTGATATATATGTGAAAAAAAGTTTCTGAAATCAATGTCTTTTATTTTAATTCCTTTTGCTATTATTTAAAGGTAAAATTATTGTACTGTGAGTGGGATTTTTAATGGAAAGTAGCTCTATAGTAAGGCCAGTTTAAATAGATGACTTCCTGATTTTTTTCTTAGACATGAGATATTCATATTTTTATTTCAACAGATTCAAGTTGCAGGAGATTATGGCTCTGAATTTGAATATGACAGTGAAGCTGACAGAAGAAGGTTGGTGTAAAACTATGACAATTACTGGTACATGTACATAATTTTTGGAACATGTACATTTTAAACAATGCATTCATTTTCTTTTCTAATTATGAAATCAATATTTTTGAAGTTATGGTATGGATATATACCTTTATGGTACATTTTGTTCTCCAGACACAAAGATGACAATTTAATGAAGAAAAGAAAAAGGACTACAGATGGAAAACCAAAAAGGCGAGAAGCTGAAACGGAATACAGCAGGTTTGAGATATATGTTTTGTAAACCATTTGTTTTTCATATGATATCTGATCTACCTGATATAAAATCATAAGAACTCCTTTGAAACATATGTTTGTAAATCTTTATCATTGGAAGATTTCATTTATTTTCTGAGAATATAGGGCAAGATTTTTCACAATTTTATATTTCCTGCTAATATGGTGCAATGGTAGCTGTAATTCACAAGACATGTGCATTGCCCTTCCCTGAACTTGCATGACTAACCAACGATATAAGCCATCAATAACAGACAACATATATATCAAAGTGCACTTCTATAAAGATTTAAGACATTTTTATCTGTAACTTTTTCTCATGATTTTAACTTTGGATAAAATTTGGTTTTTATAACTTTGTTTTCAATTGATTATAGGGATATTCCACCCATGTTGCAAAATTTCTGGCTGTCCTGTATTTAAGAAATCATTCTAATTAGTTTTAAAACTATTACATTGTATTTACATCAAAATATCTCTCCTGTGGTAAGTTTGAACAGGCGAAATTGGTGGGAACACTCCATGCCAAACTGGCTTAATATAGCACATTAGGAAATCTGGAACAGAAAGGTCATTAGATCATAGATTTCATGCATAATATTGGGTAAATACACAAGTGTGTATGCTGTTTACTAAATTTTCTGCTGGGTTACACATTCATTAAATCATCAGACTTATTTTCTGCTGATTTTATAATTTACACAAACATTCTGTTCTGTTCAGGGCCATGCAGACATTTGTAAATCAATCTAGCTAGGTCTACAAAGAATTTCCCCAAATTAAATATTGTGTTTGTTTGAATGGTAAATTGAGGTGTATGATTTCCATAAGCATGAAATCTTAACTTGTGTGGCATATCCCTTTAACCAAAGATATGATATAATGGTAATGTTATAGGATTAATTATGGCATATGTGTCAATTTGTATGTGCTGAAATGTTACTTGAAGTTATTGATGTGTTGTGATAATATTGCTACAATGTAGCTAATCACTGATGTTTTCTTTTCATAGAGAGGAGGCAAAAATACAAAGATTTCACATTGTCAGTATGGACGCTGTATCCTTCAGTTCAAATGTGGCAATAAAATCTATAGATATATAATTTGACAAAATATTAGATAACTTTAAAAATTGTTTCTGTAACGAAATGAAATTATGTACATGATCAAATTGTAAAGATTCACTATGAGAAATTGGAACACACTTAATATATTTATTCAATACCATACTTGTTTTACAGTAAGACCATGTCTGGTAATAAGCCCACCCATATCTACTGACATGATAGCTTAGTTGGTTAAAGTGTTGGTTTACATAGGTCTGAGGTCAGTGTTTGAAGTTCCATGGTGGTTTATTTTTCTCCAGAGGCTGAGAAATGGATCAGTCAATGCTGATATGGTTATATCATTGGGCGAGACAATTTACAAAAATTGCTTTTTAGGGTATGCCACAGACCTGTATATTTTTAATTGACATAGCCACCAGTTACTACAAGAAGATTCCACCTTGAAATGTCCCTGGTTGTTTATGGGGCGATAAACCCAACAAACAAATAAACATAGCTACTGCTGTTTAGTACAATAAACCATCAGATGTGTAGGAAAAAGAACATCAGACATGCATCCAGTTGAAATAAAAAGTCTTTTATCTTGAAGGGTTTGAATTAGTTTCTTCGATCTGCGTTTCCTTAACTACTACAGTTTTCCAGACATAAAAAGTTTGTTAATGACTATATGCTGTATTATGGAGGAAAGAAAACAGACTTCAAAAGGGACACGTAAGATCATTTCAAATTCAATTCTTCTGAAAATATTATGTATTCAGTTGTACTAAAACTTTCAAGTCTCTGTATGCTTCAGATATATTGAAGTTTGTGTTTTGAATGACTTTTTGAAGACAGGTGTTAATTGAATAATATCTGTAAATTTCCTAATATCATGTAAAACACATCACATTTGGATTCATTAAAAATGTTCAAATATCAATGAAAACGAGAAGAAAAAGTTTTTACTATGAATATTAAAGAAATATTACAAACTGGTAACTGAAAATGAGTTTAACATTAAAATAGTATAAAAGATGTTACATTTGAAATACAGATAAATTGAGTGCACATGTAATCCTCTCTTGGAATACATCCATTAGAATATGCTGTATATGTTGAAACAGGTCCCGAGACAAGACAGATATGGATGTGATACGAGAAAACCATCAGTTTTTATGGGAGGAAGACGAAGGGGAAAGTGACGACTCTTGGTAACATTGATAATTACATAACGAGTACATGCAGTTATACTTAAGTACAAGGAGGGCTTGTAACTTGTCTCTAAAACTTTCTTGGTCACTTCAACAGGAAGGAAACTGATTTTAACTAATAACATGCAATGAATGAAATCCATCACATTCATTAAAACAAATTCTTTCTATAGTTTACAAAATCTGTAATTAAAGTTGTTTTCATAATTTTTTTTCCTCTACACAACAAATCACAAAGGTTTTATATTTTTTAATTCAGTTATGCTATTTCAGTAATTCTGTCAGTACAAAACAATATTATCGTCTTGATGTTTTTCTGTAACCTTCCTTTGAAAATTCATTTTCAGGGAAAGGCGATTGGCCAAGAAATATTTTGATAAACTGTTCAAAGAGTACTGTATCACAGATCTCAGCAGATACAAAGAAAACAAGGTGAAGATATAACTAATCTCTTGTCATGTAATCCATCTGTAATGCAATGAATTCGCCAATAAAATATTTTTGCAGGTACGTCACTAGTGTAATGTAATCTGGAGCATTTTTCATTGGCTGCACCATAAGAAGTGAAAACTCCTCTAAGATCCTATATTTATGAGAGGATTACTTTATTTTTCAGTGAATATTTACATGTAATAGTTTTGCATGTTACGCTTGTGTCATCAAATTTGTCATGACATCAGGTTTTGATAATGAAATGATGTCACACACTCACAGATTGCATTGATGTAACAAAAGGGACTGTATAGATATAGAGCCAAAATGATTTCAAAGTTGACATAGAAATTGCTGTTTTCTGCAATATATGACTTGACAATCGACGATGTTATGAAAAGGATATCAAACTTATTTCTGATTGATTAATGATTTATGAAATGATACATACAAATTTTCATCTTAGTTCACCAAAGATTCAGAAAAATTTTCTTAGAAACTAATCTCAGATCATTAAATATTATGTGTTAGTATGGTTGTATACATGAACATGTATCACATTTCTTTAGTACAGTTAAACAATAGATAATTTCACACCTGCCGTGATCATTATCTTTAACCGTTTTGTAATCGCTGAATTATATATAGTGATGTAATTAATTTCATCATGATGGTCTATTTATTCATATTTTTCTGACAATCTGTTTCATCATGATGGTCTATTTATTCATATTTTTCTGACAATCTGTTTCATCATGATGGTCTATTTATTCATTTTTTTCTGACAAAGTGTTTCATCATGATGGTCTATTTATTCATTTTTTTCTGACAATCTGTTTCATTAATGATTTTTGAAAAAAAAATCTTTCTTTTTTTGACATTCTGTTTCATTCAACAGGTTGCCATGAGGTGGCGTACAGAACAAGAAGTCGTTGATGGCAAAGGTAGGGTGTTACCATCATTCCTATTCATATCAACCATCCATTGATGTAAATAATGGATTTTTGTATGGTGGAACCAGTTCGAAATTCTTGTACTCTTTCTATTGACTTTGAGTTGATATTTGTATTTTGGTCATCTGAGGTCACTGTGATAAGTCATCTGATTCAGAGACAGAATTTGTATATGTAGTCCATCTAGGGTTACTGAAGGTTAAATACGGTAATGTCTTGTTTACAACAAAATCAGAACTGTTAATAACTTTAAACAATTGATTCAGTTTCAATTTCATACACGAGCAAATTCATTTCTACTGCCATTTGATTTCTATTTTGTATATTATATACTATTGGTTATTAAGTGGTGATTGATAGCTGCTGAGATTTTTGAATCTCATACAAGAGACATGAAAATGTTATGTATTGTTAGATCTGTCTGTTTGATCTGGCTGGTACCTTTATTTGATATTTGAGGCCAGATGACGTCATGATTAAAATGTTATATTCAATAATGTTTCCGACTTATAACTGCAGAAAAAAAAGTAACATAATTAAATTGAAGAATAAATTGGAAATGAAACTACTTGACAAGATTTAAATTTGTTTAATTTTCACAAAATTATGTATGAGAAATAGAATTTCTTACCTGAGTGTGTTGTTGATTAACTATCTCAGTGTTGTGGTGAAATTCTGTAACATCTGTTTCTCGGCTTAGCCATTACAGAATGTCAGTCAACTGATCTTGAACACATACAGGTAACAGATTCATTCTGGAGATTTGATGCATAAACTTAAGAATTTGTAGTCTGAGCAGGTCACAATTGAAATCAATGCCTTCACTTTAGGGTAATTAATTATTTGAATTATAAATATTTGATCACTCTATGAATTACCCATCAGAAAAGAAAACATGTCAAGAGTGGTATTTCTTACCACATAGTACATGTAGTTTAATTTAGACACAGAGCTGTGAGAAATTAGCAAATTTTTGGCAATTCTTTATTATATAATAATTGAAGGTCAGTTTATTTGTGGAAGCAGAAAGTGTTGTGAGAAAGAAGGACTGAGGAGCTGGGAGGTAAACTTTGGATATCTGGAGCAAGGTATCAAGAAAAATGCTTTAGTTAAATTAAGTAAGTAAAGTGTGATGTTTTGAACTCATGTGATGTAACATTAATATAATCACATCATAGTAGTTTACATGGAATGGGACCATTTCAAACTTTTAAACTATTACTGTAAAACCATTCATTTGCATGGAGGTTTTATTTTTGTTCATTTTGTAAGTACTGTTAATCCATAAATAGATATGTTCACACACTCTTAAGACTAGTGTCAGCAGATTTATTTAAGTATATATGTATCTACAAAATAGTACTTTTTTGAGAAACCACGAATATTGAGCCCCACAAAAATATGTGATTTTACAGTATCGCTGGCCAAGGGAGGAATACCAAGACTTTTCTTGCATACTTCACATCTTAGTTTCAATATATTCTAGGGCTCACTTACTTTTTACTCTTCCAATGTTGTCCTTAGACAATACCAAGTCAACTCCATTTATCTATTCCAGGGTTATATTATGAGCATGTTCTTTTAAACTGTAGGATAATATATATCTCTATTTCAGGTTACAACTTCAAGCTTATTAAAAAAAGAAAAAAAACATGTCATGCCCAGACTAATTAAACTATTTGTCACTTTACCAGGGTTGTGTCCAGACTGCTCCTATAAACTTAACTACCACCACAAGTGAGTATGTTTATTGAAATGGAAAAAGATGAAAGTTACTTGCAGTTTCAAATGTTGCCTGAAAGAATCCCGATGGAGATGGTGCAGCTATTGAAATTCTCTACTAATATACCACTTAAGCAGTTCTTTGTCCTTCACAAATTAATACTGCGCCCACTTCATGAGCATTTACAAGTGTAACATTTTCTATTGAATTGAAAATGTTAACTCCAGTTTGCACACATGAACTGCACAATTGAATATGCAAATATTTTGATGTTGATTAAATCACAGGATTTTAGAAAAATAATTTGGATATTTGGCTTGTTGATCAATACCTTTCATAGGATTTATAGAGAAAACTCAGGAATTCTTAGAATTTAGTGAACATGTTCTGGAGTTTTTAAGATTTATGTAAAAAATTTAGGATTTTTTCTTTTTGAATTTTATAGAACCTTCATCATGCTGAAATAAAAACTATATACAGTATCACTTTCCTTGATTTCATTTTTATCACTTGATCAGATAATTAAGCACGATTTTGTTTAACAAAATTGCTTAACTAATTAGCTATGTATTTCTGGAGGTAAAAATTGTAACTACATGTACTTATATTAAATTTAACTGTTGTCTCCATTATAATATTACAATAAAACTATCAAAATACCTTTTCTTTATCACTTGGCAACTTCAGAAAATATAGTAGGAGTTCACTTAAAAAATCATACAGGTGTTACATGGGCATATAATTACCTCAGAAAAATTCAAAATTTGTATTAACCTGTAAATTGAAAAATAAAACTGCTGTATTTATTTATCTTTTTAAAATTTGATTTATTTTGGTTTAAAGGAAAAAAGAAATTCTTCCAAAGAAAAAGAAAGGAAAACATAAAAACAGGGAAGATGATGACAATGCCAAACGACACAAGACAGATCATCATCATTCTGAACATGGTGAGAACAAATACTACATCGATTGATACAAAGATTTCATTGTCAGAAACTAAGAAAAAACATCTTGTGCTGATAGTCAGCTGGATCTTAGCAGAGTTTGTTCATTGGTTGTTAAAAGTTGTATAGGTGCTAATTAAGACTTTTATTGGAACAGTTTAAAATTAATGATCATTAACAACTGTCATTTGATTACAAATGTAGAACTAAGAAACATTATGATTGATTTCGATTGAAATCCTTTTGAAAATTTTACATCTCTGTAGTCCTGTGCCTGAAAGATAGAATTTAACTTTAAATTTTGTTGACAGTCCAGGTTACATTGTTATTGATCTTGAAATTATGGTATTGAACCTTTTTACTTTGTTTCTAACATTGTGCTAAAATTTGACAGACAGTCTTTCATTATTTTTCTGACAGTGGATTTCAGTTAAGCCCATTTAGGGTTTAGAAATTTCTAAAACTTTGATAACAAGGTGCTTTTTTTAAAAAAAATAATTAAAATTAACACAATGTATGAAACAAATGCCCACATTCTTTATATTCTGTTAAACTGGTGAATTACCTGTGTGTTTTCTATGATAGGGTCCAACAATGAAGCAACAGAATCTCCTGGATGGTCCAGTAACACTGATCAATCCATCTGGTCAGGACCGGCCAAAATCACAGAGGAGAAATCTAGGTATGTTACAACTTTCATATATTATCTACATGTTACTGGAAACCAATTTTCTTTATAGATGACTAGTGTGGTACCTACAATATATCTATAATATTGTTATGTCTTGCGTTTTAAGTCTCAGGTCCTATCTTTATAATTTGTGAAGGTTTGTCGTTTGTCACTTTCTTCAACAACTTCATTAATGAGAGGTTTTATTTGTTATGTGAATCAATATATTAAGAAATTTTGATACTCTTTCATGAATGACAAGGACTAAGTCAAGCCCTCTGTAATTTTCAATAGACAAATATCTAATGATTTTGTATACCTAGTGACATTTACATGTACTATTCTGAGAAAATTATCATGAAATTTTAAACTTTACATCATTAAAAGTATATTTAGATAATGTATGACCAAGCAATTTGAACGGTAGTCATTATTGTCTTTCACTAATTGTGAATCATGAAGGTTCACTTTACATGTACTAATAGTAAATTTACATTTCAACATTATTTGTTACATGAACAAATTAACTGCAATTAACACAAGCGCAATATCTGCAGTGTGAAAAGAGCTAAAATAAGATTATCACTAAATGTATATGTTTACAGTATTCATGTAAAATGTTAACAGATAATTTATAAAGGCAATTAATATAGATATCGGTTCACTGAATATATTGTGGAAACTTATTACTTCTGAGGTATTACACTGTATATTAATTTCTTACATTTTTTATTGCAGGGAGGAAGAATTTGACGACTATTTCAATGACATGTTTCTATGACAGTGAAGAATGTTCAAACATCCTTGTGATATTTCAAAACAGTTCGTAACATTTGAACAATGGTAAACGAACTCTAAAACCATAGAACTTTAAAAGAAAAAAGACTGCACGACATCCAAAGGATAGAGATTTTATATATAATTAGATCCAGATGTCTTGTGTGTAGCCTTCAAATTAAGTCTAATCAGTAATGCCTTCGGTGACCTGTCCACTTTCATCACTTCAACATATTTATTTGTCTGCTGATTTTAGCCATTTAATTCAATCCTTTTCTTGCTAAAACCTTAAGAATTGATTGATTGACACTTTATTAATTTTGATATACAAATATTGTAAGTAAATGTTTTGAAGTACAAACGACAAAATGGGCAGCGTAAGAAATGTTCTATTTTACAGTTGTTTGCTGGGATTACCTCTTGTGAACAGCCAGGGTCATGTTGTGGCCGAACCTCGTTATAGTAGCTGGTGTATACCACATTGAACAACATAGGGGAGGTTCATCACATCCCATCCAGAGTGATTAGGGTAAAGTGTCATGCCTAATAAACATGACCAGCACAGGCAGGTCCGTTTCTCAGAAACAAGCCACTGTAGGTAGAGGGAGTCTAACAACACATCTCAGGTCTTCACCTGAGGTTATGCAAGCTAATGTTCAACCAACTAGAGTCCTGAACACTAATCAATAATTTTGAACTTCTTTATTTCATTTTAATGCACTTCATTCCTCTATTTAATAGGAAAATTACGAAGTTACAGAAATCAAAACAATTAGGAATTGTGCATACGTAGATACTAGATTGTTCCTTCATATTTCAATATTCAAAAAGCTTACTGCAAGGAGTAAGAAAACAAAAGACAAGTTGGTATGAGATCAAGTTCTTTATTGGTAAAATAAATACCTGCATGATGCAGTTGTTCGAAATGAAGTAATATAGTGTACATAATTATAACACTGTATTTGTTCTTTGCACAATTAAAATGGTCATTGCAATGACTTGTATTTTTTCAACCTGGTATTGCTCCAAAACGATCTACCAACAACATTTTCTTTGTCATTTAGCACTACCAAAGGAAAGAACAAAGCCTCACCTTCAGAGGATCTCGTAGATATGAGAGTCGCAAACAAAAACTAGAACTCAAACTGAAACCTCTCATTTTTAGTTCTATATATGAAATTAACCAACATTTTGTGTACCTTTATACACTCCTGGAAGGTTGGAGGCACATCGTTCCTAAATGTTGGTGTTCAACTGATTTTCCCATCAGACACTGGCATAGATACCCCTGGTGTACAGAGTCTACACAAACATGGCAAAAATAGTAGAACAAATGTGTGGACAACAAGTCTGTGTCATCTTATAATCCAGATATAATAAGGCTGATCAGACATCACAAGTTTAAGTTTTTTTCTTTAAACATTATTTCTACTTTCTTATTCATACTGTCAACCCTTGAGCTCTTTTGCAGTTTAAGATTATTTCATCTCAGCATTTATGAAGTCACTATTTCTTGTTTACAATGGTATAAATGATGTCAAAATAAAAAAAAAAAAAAACAACAACTGTTGTTTTGATGATGATCTGCTGAAGATTTGAAGCATGTCAATAACTGGCTTTGATTAAAGTTTGATTTTAAGAAGACAATGACATGTTGTCTGTATATTTTTTTAAAATTACACAATAAGAATGTAATAAACCTTTTAAAAGGACTTGGCATCTTCTAGCTGAGAGGGGGCAGGTCGATCATTAAGTTGGTGTTTTCTTCCATGTTGCCGAATAATTAGTGTAAGTACATTAGTACATTTATATACCTATATTAATCTATGAAATCAAAAGTCCACAAAAATCTGATCTTTTGAAAAACCGCAAAAAGTAAGAGAAGTGGATCACGACAACCTACTACAAGTAACCAGAAATCAAAAAGTTGTCATGATATGTTAACATTGCATGATGCCAGTGTAACTGTAAGCAAATCTACATTTATGTCATCTAAAATGTCAATGTCAATTGCTGATTCTGAAGGTGAATGTTATTGTTCCTAAAAACATACCTGAATTTACTATACTCCATTATCTTATCATGTCAGATGAGTATTCTGTACAATTATGTAAAATTGTTCAACTTAAAAATTATTTTCAAGATTTAAGAGTAGTGCTAATTACATCTGATAGAAAGCTCTGTGCCACACAAAATTTAATGACAATGATAACAGTCTTTAAGCACCATCCACCACAACATAAATATGGGGACTTGAGTTTGAGTTGAGGTTTCAATGTCATTCTTAATGATGCAATAATGATTCTTAGGAGACACATCAGTCACAACTAAATATTTGTTAAAGGTCAAGATAAACTACTGATGTCATTCTTAGGCAAGCAATTGTTTTTCTTCAATCACTACCAAGACATATATGAATTATACTACAAATATCAATGAGATTTTATGGTAACATATTGAAAAGTTGCTCCTAAGAAATGGCCAGCACAACACCTTTAGGCAGTAGAGTTTCAAGTTACACTCCAAATATCATTCTGAGGTCAGCAAGTGTTAACTTTGTCTTAGATACACCAGATCTACAATAGAAAATACAGATCTCAATTATTTTCAAATAATAAAGTTTACGAAATGATCTCCTTTGAATTACATAAATTTTGAACAATAGACATGTCAAACTTAAGTATATAGTAGCATATCTGGTATTGTCAAGTGACTGTTGAAAGAAAACAAAAAATATGAGAAGGTTCAAAACTTTTCATATGTCATGAAGAGGTCAAACAATGTATTAGAAATATGGATGCACTCACGCATGGATGAACACAGACACAGACAAAGTGATAACTATGTAGCCCACTCCTTTACATCAGGAGGGGGGTATGAAAATCATTCAAAGAAGAAAAACTCCAAACATGTACTCATATTTGAAGAAAGAAAAATTATATAGGAACAGAAAAATATAGATGTTGCTACCTACCCTGACAAAACATTATCTGCTATAGCTTGTTTCCTCTTTTGTAATTGAACAATCTTCTCTTCAACTGTGTCCCGACACAAAAACCTGCAAATATTCAGATCTCTATTAAAGCAAAATGAACAGAAAATGGGACTGCTATTTAAACACCACACAACATTTCATGTTAATTATATCAAAGGCTACGAGTAACATCTGGCTAATCTTCATTTCTTTTTTGTTGTATTTTTCAAGAATTAGAAAAATATAGTATCTGTCAGACTAATAGAATTTGCAATAAATGAGTATACAATGGTAGTATCAGAAATAGTGCAACAACTTTCTTGAAATAATCAATTAAATAGCATAGTTTTGTACCATTTTAAAACTTGTCCTTATTAGTAATTATACGTTGGAATTTACAGCAAAGCACAAGAGGTCTAGATTTCACTGATGATTTTGTATATAGCTGAACTCTGTAGACTGACAGACTTTATCACCTCTGTGTGATGTGGACTGAGCCTATCACAACTCAAGGGCAGTATTTAAAGCTTTGCCAAGTACATTGTACTGGACTTTAACTAGAAACAAAAACGGAATTGAAACTAATTTGATTAATGGAATATTGTGTTATATAATTTCTTTTTTGAATAAAGTTGAATTTTCAAACCTGTGTATGAAGACATCTTTCTTTTGTCCAACACGATGGATTCTATCACAAGCCTGCTCCTCCAGAGAAGGATTCCTTTAAAATCACAAAATCACAAACGATACAGCTATTAGAAATTACAAAACAACTGTGTGAAGGATTACATTTTTTTAACCTACTGTAAAATCAATTATTTTCATGGGGGATTTGTTTTCATTGATATTGTGGGTAGGCAAATAGTCCACAAATTTGTATGTCCACAAATTTTTGAAATAAGTGTTAGTAGATTCATTGAGCTTTTAAAAAAATGTTTTAAATGATAATAAATTAGATTAAAAAAGTGGGGGAAAAAATGAAAATTTAGACCCACAAAAATATATGGTTAAATCGTACACTGAGAAATTCAAAACTAGTAAATATTTTTATTTTCATCTTTATATCAGTTAGGTTAATGCATCAACAATGTTATTAAATTAATAAATAACAGCACAATGAGCCGACTATATCATGAAATTCTCTGGTTAGAGAGGTTTATCTGAAGTAAAAGCTCCTATGTTATTTGCAACATTATAACAAAAATAAAATGTGTGACACCACAATGATAATGATATAAGCTGACAATATATCAGCCTTCAGGTAGAATGGATCACTGCTTGCTGGATTTATCACCCCGTGTACAGCCACGGTCAATTTGCGGCAGAGTCTCTTTGTTGTAGCTGTGGGCTACCTCAATAAAAACAAGAGACCTGTTGCATGCTGGCAACCATGTTTAGGGTAAAGTTTCTTGCTTAAAGACACAACCAAAACATCTAAGACAAAGCTGTTTCAAAATTTCCTGCGAAACATGAACGTCCATGTAAAGTGAGCTTCAAATCACAGACATAAAATATTCCTTTGAGGTTTTGTTTTCAACCCTCTCCAACCCAGTTATTGCAATCTCCAGAACAGAGCTGATAATTGTCTGAAATAAGGTGTTATTAAGAAATTAAAGATGAATGCTCATAAGAGGAGAGTCTGGTCATTCAGACATTTGGTCCCATGCTGGCTCTTGATTTTGTTTCCCAACAAAGGGATGAATGCAAGCATGGCTGTTACAATTGTAGCTTGTAAATAGTAGCATACACCCTTAACTTTAACACAATTTTAACAGGAAGCCAAGGTAATTGAAACATACCAATGTTGGTCTAGTAAAAACAGATGGTTTCCCCCAATAAGGTTAAGTCCGACTCCTCCTGCACGAAGTGATACCAGCATCACTTCTGGTCCACTGCCACTTGAATTAAAAGCATCTACAGCTTCAGCACGCTTCTTTGGTGGGATGTTTCCCTTGATAATGCTGTATTTGATGTTAAGCTTGTCCAACTGTAGACCTACAATCTCCAGCAATTTTGTCCACTGGGATACAATTACACTGAAATCAAGATACAATCATTGTTTTTGTTATTGTCATGTCATATGGAAATGCATGAAATTTTTGGGAAATCTTAAAAATCATTTTTTGTCAAAAAAATTTCTTTCATTTAATCTTTGCTCTTCAACAGGGAAAATCAATGAGGATATCCACCAGCCTTCTTATCAAAACTTCTAAGACTAGTTTGAAATATGTAGTTTTCAGTGAAAACAAGTTTTAAAGAAATTCAATTAGCCCATTATTCTATAATCGTAACTTTTAAGACTCCTTATAGAAATATTGGGTTTTATCATACAGATTCATTCTATGTTTTCCCATTCAATATGTTTAGTTATGGAATTGTAAACATTACCATGCTCAAAGGTTTAATAAAACTCTGACAAAAACTCTAAATTACGTCCATTAAAAGGCTTTCACTCAGTTTTTTTCATTTTTTTACCTTTTCTGTCTTCTGTCTTTTTCTCTAATTTCCTTCAGTTTTTCTAATAAAAATTTCATCTACAAAATAAACAAAAAGACTATAACATATCTAACAGGAGACACTTGTGCTGGCAAAAGAAAGAATATATATTTTAACACACACATTTCCGTAATACCAAGTTGAAAAATTAGCTTTACAGACTATTAACAGACTTTTTATCAGAAAAAGGATAAAATTTTATATACCACGGTTGCTATGAATGGGATAACTCTATCCTACATGGGGTAGGGAAAGAACTCCGGGCAAATGCTATGATGCCACTTGCAATAGGGTAGAGTCATATTTTGAGTAGCGTAATATTGGAAATTGATATAGTAAATTTTGACGAACATTTAATAGGACATGAATGATGTACAATGGATCGGGTTCAGAACAATTAACAATTTGTTTTGTTTTTTTATATGTGACTAACTGACTTATCAAAATATTCCACATTATTACATCAGATCTTGGTGGCATACCTTTGTGCTTAGAAATGACTGTTCAAACATTGGTGATGCTTTTGTGAGTTTTGGTTCCTCTGGTTTGCCTGGCTCTTCCAGCATTAGGTCCCTCATCTGATCTGCTATGTCTAATTCTAAACCTTCAGACTCTGCTGTCTCCTCATCAAATGCCTTAAATATAATTTTGAAAGACCTGCACATGTATCGTCTTATCACAAGCTTTAACACTTTGCAAACACACAATCTTGAAACAGATTTAAAAAATGTACTGTTGTTATACTTGCATTTTTTCCTGATTTTTCTTTTTTTCTCAAATTTGCAAAATTTCTTGTTAAATGCATATCTGTGATTTTCAGACTCAAAATTTACTCATCTATTATTGGAAACTTTACCAGTCTTGCAAACCCAACAAATGAAGCTGAAACACTATATTTGAACATGTTGAAATGACCATTGCTGAATCTATGATGGATTTTTTTAAGCTGGATATCACTACATATACATACATCTCTCATGAGACTCAAATGGCAGCAGCACTGTCTCAATCGCAGTAATAACACGAGGATCTGCTGAGCGCCAACCTTCTTGCTTTGTTGTGAGGCTGCTCCAGCCCCATCAACCCGACCATCATTCTCACGATCTTTGAATGGATTGACGTTTTCTTTTGTGATACCGTCTTTCTCATCCTGTCTTCTTAGATATTCTTTCAGTACTGACCTTTATGAACAAAATCCAGACTGAACAATAATTTCAGGTTTTTGATCGAAAGAACACAACAGCAATAAATATACCAAGAAGTTAGAGCTATCAACTTTTGTGTTTATATTCATTGTTCCAAATCTTTACAAAAATGAATAAAATGCCATAACTCTGCATATTTTGTAAGACCCTATCATGCCTTAGTAAGTTAGTTTGAGACATGGCCTCACAAAAAGTGATAAAGTGCGAAAAAGGACAATAATTCTGCAAATTATACAATCCTAGACCTTATATCAGTATGCAAACTATCAAACCATGTTCTGGCATACAGATTCATCAAAATCTAATTGATAAAGAAAGTAAGACATGACAGACTCCCTGTCAAGGTGATATAGACCATGTAACTGAATTACTGGTAAATTTCTCATCAAGTGGTGCTACAAGGGATTAGAAAGAAATAAACTATTCTTTAAGTATCCCAAAGTTTAAACTGAGACAAAGAGAATATTTTCTTTTTCACAGATCCTTCATTTGTTCTGCGATATCAATATTCACACAGAAAAGTGTCAAGTTACCACAGAAAAAACCTTATAATTATAAAATATTTTAATGCTGAATTTCAGCTTAAGCTCACCAATTAAAAAACAAATTGTAACATTTGAATAAATCAATCACTACTCACTTATGTTATCAAAAGCTTAAGTTCATTACCATTGGAAACTCTCACTGATCACATTTATTTGAAGTTCACACTCACCGAGATTGAGAGAAAACTTTATCGTACACAGATCTCTCACTTTCTGAAAGTTTTAACTCCCACACCTGACTTGACTTGGTTGTCATGGCAACCTGGAAATAGAAAGGACAATACACTCTAACAGTTACACATCTCAGTCTAAGATTTTTACCCATTTTTACTTTTCAGAATATCAGTCAATTTTTAATCTGCTTATTTCAGGACTATACAAGTAAAACATCTCTTTCACACAGGACTCCATATTTTGTTCTAAGAGTAATACAAATAAAATATAACCGATAGATTGCTTAGGAGTAACAGATAGGAATCTGAACCAGCTAGAAGCAATTTTGTGATTTATTTTGGTGTGTTATGTTACTTAAATAGCCATAAGGCAAATATTTAATTGAAATACCTACAGTTAATATTCAATAATATATCAAAATTATCATGTAGCAGCAGTATACAGAGAAAAGCCAACACAAAACATGAAATTCACAACTTCTAACCAAGACAGTATCAAACATTCATACAATTTCCTACAGGTATTGAAATGAGCCTTCACACTCTTTATGGTATATCCCTTACCAAGGGTTTTCCAGCCTTGTCTGTCTGGGACTTTGTTCTCCGTAAGAGTAACGATTTCACAAGAATGTTCAATCGATTCTGTCCCGAGGCTACAAAAACAATCCATGGCCATAAATGATTGCATTTCATAAAATTACTGACTTGTACAAAAAAGCCTGACTTTACAATAAGTTAGTATACAATGTCATACTGATTCTGCATACTTTTCAAATCTTTCTCTTATTCAAACAGAGAAAATAAAATAAGTATGTTTTTATGATAAATGATGAATATGAACCATGTATCAAAATAAATGATGCATCAAGTATTTTTTTCAAAATATAAATTGGTAATCATATATATATATATAACAACAGTTTCAGTCATATACAGAAGATTCAACAAAAGACAGACTGAAATGTATATGAATTCATAACTTGCATGAGCATTAATTAAGCTTAGTATAAGGTAAAGAGATTTTTTAAAAAAATGTCCAAATTGTTGTAGTTTTGATCAAAAGCAAGAAGCAAACAAATGTATTGCCATTTCCTCCCCCCCTCCCCCTCCGGAAGGTCAGGAAACCAATAAGTATGTAATTACAATGTTGATATGTATTTTTTATAATTTTTGCAACATAATTATATCATCAAAAACAGCCAAAAAAATAAAGTCCCTCAAAAATCACTTAGTATACAGTAACAATTAAGACAGAATTTTCTCTAAAGGATAAATATAAGTAAAATATAAATATAAGTAAATATACCAGGTAAGTACTCTGTTATCCTCAATAATGCAGATATCAGTTTAAAACCTACGATAAAAATATCTTGGAGAAATCCCTGAAACAGTCTACAATTATGAAAGATGCTATTCACTTAACTTTCAATTCAAACTTACATTTTCCAGTATCTACTTGACGTTTCCAGACTTTGTACTCATCAAATGGGGAGCACCTCAGAAACCTAAAACATGAATATAGAAGTAAAGGGAACTTTGATTGTTAATTACTTCAATTAACAAATATATAATTCAACACACTTCATTTGCTTTCAAGTGGCTTTTGAAAAACATATGTATTTATTAGGTTTGTCAACCTCGAGTCCAAAGGCAAGCACAAAGATTGTTTTAAATTTAGTACAAAAAAACCAGAGTACACAGAGAAAGTACATATCATGCAGTTATAGGTGAGCAAAACCTCTTTTACCTGATTGATAGAACATTACAGTAAATCATGTCCAGTGTATAAAGTCTATGCATCCTACTTTCAGAGCATTAGGTGTATCTCTACCTTAACAGACGGTACACATCTAGAAGTTCAGAAAGTAGATGTTTTGAAGTTGGTTCTGTATTGAGCACTGGGTATTTCCCTACTGTAACAAAGGGCTAAAGTCTAGAAGTTGGTTCTGTATGGAGCACTGGGTATTTTCTTCTTTATCTGACAGTAAATGTCAAGAAGCTGGCTCAGCATTGGGCATTAGGAATTTTCCTACCATAATAGTACATGTCAAGACCTTTACAGATGGTACATATCTCAAAGTTTAGAAAGCAGATGCCTTAAGTTGGTTCTGTATGCGATACTGGGAATTTCCTTACCTTAACAGAGAGTACATGTCTAGAAGTTGGTTCTGTATTCAATACTGGGAATTTCCTTACCGTAACAGAGAGTACATGTCTAGAAGTTGGTTCTGTATGCAATACTGGGAATTTCCTTACCGTAACAGAGAGTACATGTCTAGAAGTTGGTTCTGTATGGAGCACTGGAAATTTCCTTACCGTAAGAGAGAGTACATGTCTAGAAGTTGGTTCTGTATAGGAGTGCCAGTGATTGCCCATCTATGAGAAGCTCTCAAGCGACACACAGCCATAGCAGTAAGGCTCTTATGGTTCTTGATGTTATGAGCCTCGTCCAGAATAATTCTCTCCCAAACAATTCTTAGTATGTTACACTGCAATGCAGGGTTGGACACCTGAAACACAGTCACAACTCATCAGTATGAATTAATTGAGATATCAACTATCCTTTTCTCAAAATGATCAAAAGTGAAATGAAGTTGACAAACAAAAAAGTTTCATACAGGAAAGATTTGAAAACATACACCTTTGAAAGTGATCTGACAAGCACATTTTTGATGAATTAATGTCCATATGATTTAGGTGATAGTTAAACAGGTAAAAAAATTATATGAAAACTACATTTTTTTTCTTAGAATTGAAATACATTGTATTGATATATACAGTAGTTGAAGGGAAAATATGACAGGGAAAATATTGCTTCCAAGAAATATCTGAATCTGTATTAATGAAATTAATGTTAGTAGTCAAATCACTGGGCAAGTTATAAAGTTTGAAATTAGCTTTTTGAAAAAGCATTCCATATCATGACAAATAAAAGATATAAAGACGAAACATAAACCTATAAAAACTTTAATTTCTATATCCAATTAAAAAATATCTTACCTCGGATTGTGGATTTTCTGTTTCATCTTCATCGTCCTTCACTGGTTCATCGGCATTTGTGTTCGAAGAGCCAACTTCTTTTGCAACAATATTATATGTTGTAATGACTACATCATATGCAGCGAGCCTGTCATTACAAATTCATAAGTTTAATCATATTACTGAGATCTACAAAAGATCTTTTCATTCAAACTTTTCTCCATTCTTCCAATAAATTCTAGATCACTCATTCGACAGAACAGATGTATTCAAAACCTGAATCATACCCTGAAAATTGTAAAGAATTGTAAACTCTAGTACCGGTATTTAATTACATGCCAAAATAATATTGAGGATGTTGAAGATCTACCTATCATAAAACTCACTTGTGTCTAACACATTGAATACATCAGATAAGTTGAATGTTTTGTTCAGTTTTTATTTTTTCTCTTCTTTATCTAAGTAAATTAGACACAGATAATCTGAATTGAATTGAATACTGCCTTTGTGCTGAATATATTTTGTGGTCTATCTCTTCTAAATTCATTCTCTTTAACAGTTAGGCTTTTACAGTGTTGTACATGTAAAGTTGTGATTCAGTGCTGTTGCCATGGCCTACAGCTTTTCGTAACTCACTTCAGTGATATAGATGTAATATCAATGTAGAATGTTCATGAGTACATATTTTTTTTAGTTTTATTTTAAGATATTGTAGACAGGATTTGTTACTCTTAAGGATATAAATATGAATACAATAATTGTATGTTTTTAGGTATCACTTTCACTAAGCTTTGTGTATGAGAATGGATGTGTTTCCACACATGTGCTGCAATTCCATGAGGAGTGTTTCACATTAGTTTTTGTTTTATATTCATACATGTGACTGTTTATCTAAATAACAGATATCGTTAGTGTATAAAAGTATAACATGTTTTATTTATCTACTTACTCATTACTGTCACGCCATGCAGATGAGAATAGGGTCAATCTTACATGCACAATGTCTCCGTTCATCGAAACACAGCTAAGTCGAACCATTAAATAAGTCAAATAATTCATTTGGTTCCATCGACTTTTGATTTGTCAATGCTTTACTGTATATGATAATTTAAAGGAAACCTGACAAACCGTTTAATATTTTGCTCCCTGTTTGGTCCGTGATATAGCAGAACAGATAAAAGGTTTGAACGACACCGTTTCTCAATCTCTTTGTGCCACTGGTGGATTAGGGAAGCTGGACACACAACCAGGGTGGCTTTAGACTTTACAAGATTTTTTCCAACTACAACACAACAAATCTTGGGATTATTAGAATAAATACAATACAGTGCACATTGCAACAAGTTTAATCTTCCAAAATAACAAAATGACATTTTCCAAACATATTTTTAATGAAGGAAGACTAGTGGTAGCACATTATGTAATATTTTATCATTTTATTTGGTTTACCAAAAAAGTTTGAAAGAGGATCAACATAATCATTCATTAAAGGTATCTATTCAGCATCAAGTTTAAAATTTTGTTTTCAATCTTAAGAACATTCACTATTTCAGCCCATTTAATTCCATCACATTCAGTTTTGAGTAATCATAAACTTTTTTTTGTCCACATCAAAATAATTTTTGCAATTTTTTTTTCAAATTAATCATTTCTTGACATCAGGTAAAGGTCAAGCAGTCTCATTTCTATGTAAATAAAATCTTTGTTTTCTCATCAAAATTGCAAAAATCATTGGCATCAACCATTTGCATATAAAAAAACAAATCACATTCCAGCTATTCACTTCCAATATCATAAACATTCCTGATTTTTATTTACTTTTTATAATCACCAACCTTTCTTAATTGCCTCATCGAAATTGCACTTTGTTATTTCCTTTTCTAAATGACTTAGTGGTCAAAATAATTCTTTCACCTAACATCTTTATTTATATCACTCACATTTCTTCATTTCCTTGTCTTTGCTTTTCCATTCCTCCTCATCCTCCGTTCGTTCTTCATCCTTTCGTGATTCATTCTGCTTAGCTATCAGTGAGATCATGGTTAGTGTTTTACCTAGCCCCATGTCATCCGCTGCAAAACACAAATATTGTAAAATAAGGTATTTGGTAGTGTACATTTTTTTTTACTTGCTATTTCATGGACACTTAATTTTATATTGAATTTAGTTCAATAAATATACTTAACATACTTATCTAAGCACTTCATAAACATATAAATTCAATGACATTACAATGTAAATCCCATACAAAAATGAACGTTTTTACAGTAATTTGTACATAAATTTGTATCATATTTGTATGCTCCCAGATCAAAAGATTTCGGGGAATATAATTTTTGTGCTGTCTGTTTGTCAAATTTAACCTTGCCCATAATTAAAAAACTGTATGAGGTAGGGCTTTTATATTTGGCATGTGTATTCCTTGTGACTAGACATTTACAGTGGTACCAAAATTGTTTACCTTCACTGAGATCTTTGAATAACAATTGCAAAAGCAATTGCAAACATAGGCCATAACTATTGTACCATAAGAGGTAGGGTTTTCATATTTGGCATGTGTGTTCCTTGTGACAAGACCTTTCTAATGGGTACCAAATTATTTTAACATGTGACATTAACTGTGACCTTTGATCTACATTTGAAAGCTAGCACATACCTTATGCAGTACAGTTTCAATTTCCCACTTCAGAACTTTGTTGCCACTAAGGCTAGTGTTTTATAAACACATCTTGTTCTAATTCAATTTTCATTATTGTAAATAGTAAACTAACCTTATTTGTTCGGCAAAACTTCATTTGTCCAAACAAAAATCAAAGAAACCCTAAAGGTTTATATCTGTTTGCCTACTAGACCCTATCCCACTGCCCTCAGGGGGTCAGTCAAATCATTTATACAAAGTCTCCTTCATCCAAGCATGCTTCATCAAATTTGGAGAAAATTCTATCATTCATACAGAAGATGGATAACAACGATTGACCAGTCCTTTGTTACCCATAAGAACTGAGTTGTCTCACCTTGCTGTTGTATGACATTCATGTCTTACAGATAAAAGCAGGGTTGTGTCCTCTTATCTATCAAGTTTTCCCACACTGAGGTGACAGCCTTACCAAGTTTACCAAGTTTTTCCACACTGAGGTGACAGTCTTAACAAGTATTCCACACTGAGATGACAGCCTTACCAAGTTTTTCCACACTGAGATGACAGCCTTACCAAGTCTTTCCACACTGAGGTGACAGTCTTAACAAGTATTCCACACTGAGATGACAGCCTTACCAAGTTTTTCCACACTGAGATGACAGCCTTACCAAGTTTTTCCACACTGAGGTGACAGTCTTAACAAGTATTCCACACTGAGATGACAGCCTTACCAAGTTTTCCCACACTGAGGTGACAGCCTTACCATGTTTTTCCACACTGAGGTGACAGCCTTACCAAGTTTTCCCACACTGAGGTGACAGCCTTACCATGTTTTTCCACACTGAGGTGACATCCTTACCAAGTTTTTCCACACTGAGATGACAGCCTTACCAAGTTTTCCCACACTGAGGTGACAGCTTTACCATGTTTTTCCACACTGAGATGACAACATTACCAAGTTTTTCCACACTGAGGTGACAGCCTTACCATGTTTTTCCACACTGAGGTGACAGTCTTAACAAGTTTTCCCACACTGAGGTGACAGCCTTACCAAGTATTCCACCCTGAGGTTGTTGTTTCTCCCTCCATGTCAGCCAGGCAAGTGCTCTTCTTTGATGAGTCATCAGAGGAACAGTTAGCCCCTTGGGATCTGTAAGCTCAATCTCCTCTCCAGGACAGGTCTCCAGTTGTCTACAATACAGACCAATCAAATTTATATTATCTTACCTACTCTGCGCTATTCAAGTACCAGGTAATTTGCTGGCATGTATCTTATACACTATGTACCAGGATTTCAGATTTTGATTCAGATTTTCTTCATAATATACGTGGGAGTGATAGGTATATGTAGGAAACCCAGTCACAGATAGCCATCATTTATTTAGGAATTCAGAGGTCAGACAGATTCTGATTTATTGGAATATACTTGTTACTACTGTTAGCTACACATGATGAATTTTGTTGGTACCTGATGAGCAGATCCAGTATTTTGTCACAATGAAAGAGCTTTAACAGGCTCACACTTAGGAACTGTATAACATGGTTGAATATAGTTTGTTAAACTCTGATTTCAAGAGGACTGACAGGTTAGGTTACACTCCAACTTCTCCCCCTCTATTCTCTATTCTGCCTTGAATCAGTGTTTGTGAGCTGTGCTCTGGTAATAGATCCAGGTATACAACACCTGTTTGCTTGCAGTGTTTATCATCCTGTCAGCAGCCGAGGCAATTTGTAGTAGCTGGTGGTTACTACACTGAACAACAAAGAAAGCCTAAAGTCACAGGAGTCAAGTGTGTTGCCCAAGACCATTGTCACTACAGCACAGGTTAGTTTGTTTTCAGCTTCCTGAGAAACACAAACTGTCCCCAGTAGAGATTGTTGAACCACACACCTGAAATCTTCACCTGAGTGTGCAGAGTCAAACACTTGACCAACTGAGTAATCACAGCTCCAATATATGAAGTGTAACAGGGTATTAAGTATTTATCACTGATCACACTCAAGATACAGTAATTATGTGACCTACTTGTGTAGTTTTTCTATGGCTTCCTTTGTGATACTGCCAACCTCCCTCAAACGGGCAGCCGTCATTCTCCCTCCATATAGCTGCATGGCTTGGGGGTTGGCTACATCAAAGTACAATGAAAAAGTTTTTTTAAACAATCTAGACACCAGTTTCATCTAATTTAAAAAAAAGAGGGGGGGGGGGGACAAAGCCATTCATTTATCTTAATACTGGTAGATAAGTTGAATAAGAGCAATATTACTCGCTCATATTACTGTCCATTTATTTCTGTTCTTATGAGAAATATTGATAAATACAATTTAAAGCTGAACATACTCTATATGCTGAGCCAAACTATTTCCATAATATGAAATGGTTTTCTAAGAATTATCTTCAACATTTTCAAATCAGAAAAAAACTATAAATATCTTTCAGAAAAAATCTTAATTAAGAGTGGCTAGATATTTGATGACCAGTTTTAAGAGGCCAATCAAAAGCTGCCCCAATCTATACACCCATGCTTCAAATACAAATCGACAAAGAATTGTAGATGTACAGTCAAATTTTCATATTAAATTGTATCTACACATATGTAGGTATCTACAATTTGAATGAGATGTTGCACTTTTATCTGGTAAGATATTTTATACCTGCATATAATTGCTGTAAAATGTGAGGAGGTAAGTGGGCTGTATGAGGCAGGATGCTGGTCTGACGAAGTCCGTCAGGATTGTGTGAGGCATGGGCACTTACGGGCTGTGCAGGAAGGCGAATCACCTTAACACCTTTCAAGGCATGGATAAATTTAAAAGACAAAATCAAACAACAGGACTTTCAAAGATTTCAAAGAAAGCCATCTGCAAACTAAGAAAAAAATTCATATTTACATTTGTAATTTAGCACATAAGAGCTGGATGTTTCTTATATACATGAAACTACATACTGTACAGATGCATATTTTAGCTGTAATGCTGTCTTGGTACCTTTCCTGCTGAGAGTATTGTGCTATTGTGCCAATTGTAGCTTCTGTATGTTACTTATACAGCAAGTACTGTGAATACATAATTTCATCTTTGCACCACTTTACTAATAAGAAATAATGTGCTGAAATCTCATTGCACCAAATCAAGTACATGGCCAATATTCTGACATGAACACTCAATGAACATAAATATCTTCTCCAAATTTTAACTAACACTATCAAATTCTTAATACCTGATTTGGTGTCATTTCATAATGATGAAATAACAACGAAAAAATCAAAGCTGTCGCTTTGTTAATCAGTATTACTGTTTCATCCTTGAATAATATCAACTATTGCAACTCTAAAATACAACCAAAAAAATCCACACTGGAAAGCTGAAAGGTAATTAAAAACAAAACATTTAAAGCAGGGGAAGTAGCTGTGTGTAAGCAGGTATGAGAAAAATAAAAACAATTATTTAACAGAAATAAATATTGACTTTAAAATCAAAACCTTATCTTTTCATTTCATTGCTATCCATCATGTGGATCAAACTGTTGAAACCTCAGCTTTATACAGTGGTATTTACCTGGGGGGAGTTGTTGGTGCTGTCCAGTACTTGTCTGTTGACCTTCTGGTTTGGCAGGTAGCTTAATCACTGTGATTCCTGGATTTTTACTAGTACCTGCTTTTTTAATATAGAAACTTTTAGTACTTTTGCGATTTCAATAAACAAACTGTACATACCAAGATTTTTTTTCACAATCAATGAACCTATCTTATTTTATGATATTTTATGTCACAAACAATCATATACATGGGTGAAATTTATGAGGCTTAATGAGTTTTGCATATTTAGTTTGTTCAAGTTTCCCCCTCATGTAAATTTCTTGGAGAAATCACTGCATTGATAATTGCCTACCATGAGGAGCTTTGTTTTCTAACCGACAGTGCTATATAAAGGGACTAAATCCAATAAATAAGGAGATACCTATAAGATATGAATGTCCCAGCTTCTATGCTTAGATCTGTATCATTGTTGGATGAATTTACAAAAGTTGTCAAATGTGACCTTTGACCTTTTAATAATTTTTTTTCTAATATGGTGTAGAACTTGATATTATGATACTATGGGTTAAACACATGTATGAACCAAATCTGTTTAAAGGTTCTCAGAATATGACTGATTTAGAACAAGACATGACAGAATGGACAGATATGGCTCACAGCATGGTATATATCACCACTCTTGAAATGGCAGGGGCTTAAGAATGAGCAGATATCACTACAATCTATCTATTTGCTTTTTGTGAACCAAGTTACATATCTAAAACTCATACCTTTTTCACTTCTAGTATTATGGTCAGAGATTTTTTTATTATAGATAGAAATGGTATTCTGAAGTTTCTCCACTTCTTCCATCAGCTTTTTACCGCGGTCTGGTAGGGTAGACATTTTCACAGTTGCTATAATTTGCTGGAAAGAAAAAAATATGTACAATTTCAGTAATTATGATAGAAAAAAGTATGATACTGGTATAAATAATGTTTTGAGTAGACCAATATTTTGTCATGTTTCATTTTAGCAGCAATTCTTTTTCTGGAATTTTAATAAGATATTATGAAAAGTTTAAAACAAAGTGCTCTAGATCTATTATAGATGACTGACCAATTTTGATTGCTCTTTTACTGGTTACATGACACTAACAGGTATTTTCACTAGAAGTAATATGTTTTGAAAACAAATCATTTTCAGAGTTCCAAATTTCTGGGAGTTAGTTGTATTGAAACGTGATATTCATCTATTTGTCTTTTTGTACGATCTTCAAGACTGAAGATGGTAAACACTGCTGGTAGACAATTTGTCCATGAGGTTTACCATAACCTGCATGCCACATTCTAATTCATCTAAATAGTGGCATGGTTTTAAACATATATACAGTCAATTTTGGGATAAGTGTACTTCCCAGTCTAAATATAGTAACATTTACAGTGATTTTTTGGGACTGAAATATTTGAGTCCTTGACCCAAGCTTTTCCTGTAGGATTTGCTTAAATTTTGAGAACAAACTATATCTCTTGGTAACAGGACTCATCAAGATCTTGGAAATGTTGGACTGAGCTCAACAGAAAAAATCCTACAAAATTTACTGATTTATAAAGAACAATATAGATTTCCAAACTCACCTCTTAAGTTTAAAATATTTAGGCCCTTAACATCACTGACGAGTCTGAAGTTTAATTCCTTTCAATATTTGGCTATACTGCATCTAACTTTAAACTTGTATTGAAATGTGTGATTCACTTTTGTGTATAAACACAAACTTTATCCATATGCTAAAATGCATATCATGGTACTTTTTTCAGTTGATAAAAGCACAGGATATCTGTCATATTGATTATATAAATGGATATTACTATTACCTTCTGCTTTTGTAACCGTTTTAACAAACTGTCGCGGACTTCAATGTCTTGCTTCAAACTAAGCTGGTTAGCTGTTTGAAAACCTGTATTACTTGTACTTTGAGATGTGTGTACAATGATTGGTTCAGGAACTGTGACCATTGACTGCCCAGTGGTCACTACTGGTTTTATCTGTGTTGGGACCCCTCCATGGTTAGACATTTGGGACAAATTCACAGTTGACTGAAGAGCTGTGTTCTTGTCGGACTGTACAGGAATGGTAGATTTACTGACATGTTCAATAGTAGACTGAGGAACTGTGATGTTGGCCTCCTCTGATGACATCCCTGGTCTTTTCTGTGTAGGAAGACTTACCTCTGCAGTTCCATTAGTCTTACTACTTATAGAGTCCTGTGCATGTGACACATCATTTATCTGACCTTGACTCCTGTCTGAGCCATGACCTTTTGTATAGCCTGTCTGTGATACAGAAGTGGGTGAACTGTGACTGACCACACCATTATTTTCACCATATTGTGTTAACATGTCACGCTCCTGATCTGCTAATCTTTCATCTTCATGTCCAATGTCACTATTACCATCACTGTCATTTTCATCGTCACTTGTCAGATCTATACAAGCAGCTGTAGACTCCCTTCGTCCACCCATTTTCAAATGGTTTAAAACAGATTTCTTTTCAGCACTGAAACCACTTTTGTCACTGCCAGTGGAGTTCTTCTGTTTACTTTGTGCTGATAATACAGCAAAACTGACTTCTTCCTGTGGTTGAGACACAACCTTGGCATTTTTCTTGAGTTTAAGTTTGCTACAAACTTTTGGAATTTCTTTGTCTTGCAGATCTTTTTGACCAGAATCAAGATCAAGTTTTTCCATTCTTTTCGAGATTTGATCTGAAGTTGTTGAATCAACACAACTCTTAGTGTCAGGTCCACCAGCATGGTCCACTTTAAGATTACTTTGGGTGTCCTTTTCTTTCGGACTTGTAATCTTCTCTGAAAATTTTGATGGGTTGTTCTGAAAATTAAAATCATATACCAATTTAGAAAAACAAACACATCTCAGTCAAAATGTTTTCACAAAACTCTGAGAAAGCCCTTTCAAACATTTTCAAATAGTTCTTCTGATATGATATGATAAAAAACACTAAACTGTAAAACTTTGCCTGATGATGAAAAACAAACACTCGTGTGATATTTTCATAATTATCATTAAACAATGTTTTTTCATGGTACAGTGTATAATAAAATAGATACGCATCTTGGGGTTGACTGTCTGTCATCAAACCACACTTTAGGCCTTTTATAATATAACACACATTCAATATATACTTTAAACTCCTTTTGTTTGTTAGGATATTGCCCCCATAAATAGATTGTTTTAAGGCAGGATGGGTTTGCATTACTTAACATTATTACCATTACTTTGGGGAACATCAAACAGGACACCCACCACATACTATCTAAAGCTATTGGTAAAGTGTCTTTGCAACAACAACTGGTTGATAACTATACCAGGAGAAGGCACTGAGTACCTTCATACCATATATCAAAAATGTGTCCATGTATTAGTAACTGATTAAACAGAAACAGTATTTATCAAGACCCAAGCCCTAAGCTATGGCTTATAAGTTAACACAATGTCAATCATTACCTTAGATGAATAATAACCACACCATGTCTGTGTTTCTGGTCGTCCATGGCAACGGAAATATTTCCTAAAGATAAAAAATGAAAAAAAAAAAAAAAAAAAAATGATTAAGAACTATCTTCATGCAATTTAAACTGTTCTCATCAATTTATATCTTTTTGAAGTGTGTTGCCTGGGCTGGGAGATGCAAACTGCACTTTTAATTACCCATAAGGTAGTGTCTTCACCTTTCCTAAAATTCCAGCAAAACAAAAAATAGCTCCGCAAACACGGGCAATACCCTACAGCCTTATTATAAAGTTGGGTGCAGGGCTGAGATTGTGAAGAACCTCAAAAAGCTGTGTAGGTCCATAGGCCCAACATGCCCAGCGAAAATGGTGATTGCTGGTGATGTCGTTTTTGAGATAATGAGCGGAATGCAAATTCAAGATGGCGGCCGTAACCGCCATATTGGATATCAAGTGATGACGAAAAACAATAGGGTTGTATTGGTCAATAGGCCCAACATCCTCAGTAAAAATGGTGACCACCGGTGTCGGTGTTCTTGAGATAATGAGCGGAATGCAATTTAAGATGGCACCCGTAATCGCCATATTGGATATCGCACGGTGACGAAAAACAATAGGGTTGTATAGGTCCATAGGCCCAAAATCCCCAGTGAAAATGGTGATGACCGGTGATGTAGTTTTTGAGATAATAAGCGGAATGCAATTGTGGACGGACTGACGGGCTGTGGGGTAAAAAGGACATGCTTTGTTAAACATTTACTCTTGATCTGCAAGCATCTTAAGCATTTTATACACATCAAACCTGTGATTAAATGCTCAATTGAATATCTGTTTCAATTGTTTGGTTTTTCTTTGACATGTAAACTTAAAAAAAAGCAGACATCAATGTTGACCCAAGATACAAAACTTCTGTATTGTTTAAATCACTTGCAGAGATTGAACCTGTATGTAGGGGCTTTCAAAGTTTTGACAGTCAATGGTCATCCTTCAATCAGTAGACACCTCATTATAAAGGACAATTTAAGTGGTCCAGCAACGGTCTGCTAAATACAGGTTTTACTGTATCTGCTACAACATGCATATACATGTTTAACAAAAACTCTGTTTCCTTCCAAAGATGATTTCCGTGATGCAAATGCTGTGTCATATGACATCTTTTAACTTTTCATCGTCAAGTTATTTTATTTCAAATTTTCAGGATATTTCAAATTTTTGTCTTTCCTTTCATTAAGTAACTGATCTATTGTATTTATCTTACAAGAAACCTTAGGGCCACTACATGAACACGACTATAGACTAATATATACTGGGACGTAGGCACATCATAAGACAATGACATAACATACAGTGTATTGTACCATTGTCCTGAGACAAGTATTTCTATCAAAACATAAGTAGATATAGTTGGGCATATTACAGGGCAATGAGGGGGATTGTTGGATATGTTTTCTAAAAATCAACAGATATGTGTGGGCTCATTTCTAGACAGGGAATAAATGCAGATCGCAACCAAATATTAACCAGTATATTTTATCTTCTCACCTTTGCTCCCCAGAAGTCTTGCTGTTTGACAAAGATTGCAGCTCCATTGTGTTACCTGGGTGGTTGGGACAATCTTGTGGAGCTAAACTGAGAGACAAACAATACTTCTTGTAAAATCAAAGCTATTAATATTCTTAGGAAACAATGATAAGCAAGTGAGAAAATGATCTCCATTTCTTTTGTATTTATCTCATTTTCAAACTAATGGAATTCAGTAGCAACAATGTAATTCTATATTGTTATAAAGTGCCAGAACAGGGCTCTCACACCCCATTTTGGGACTGGGGCCCAGGGCCCTTAGAATTGGGAAAAATAGTGGCGTTTTCCTTAGAATTGGGAAAACTTGGGGTCTAAATTGGGAAAAAGATACTATTTTGCATTGAAATATTCGGCCCCAAATCTGGCAGATCGAGAGCCCTGCAGAATAACCCTTACATTGATTTTGTATATCAAGTTGATGATTGCAAAACCTGGAGTTGAAAACACAAGCATCTCAGTCTTCCCCATAGTGTTCATTGTGGTATTCTCTAATAAGGATTCTTCCCCTCTCCCCCACCCAAACCTGTACAACTACCAATTAAAGGCACTAAGAAGTTTTGATAAATTCATTCAAATCCATTAAAGTTATCAAAATCATTAAAAATAGTCATTTCTTTTGCATGTTTTAATGGGTAGAGTACAGACCTGGGAATTCAATTACCTATGTTATAAAAATTACTGTACACCCATCCTACTAGAAATAAATGTGTTTCTTACTCTGTTTTCTGTGCAAAGCCACAGGAGTCTGTTCTGCTACATACATAGAAACTCATCCCTTGGGTAGCACCAGCTTTGGTTCCTGTCTTCAGCATGCATAGCTGATCTGTTTGGGTTATAAATCAAAATTTTAAAAAAATTCAACTAAAAAAACCAACATCATTCTTGCATTGTTTATATTCATGTCAGATCTAATTTGGACTCAATTAATACAAAAATAGACAAATTTGTTGCTATAAATAACAAGAGTTGCAGGTAAATGTCCATGAAATAGTTAATTTGTTACTGCAATAGATCACTCTAGACCTATAATAACATCTATTTGGCAATATTTATATAAGCACACACCAGGTAACAAGCCAATATTTCCTATATTTATCCTACAATAAGTCCAGGAGGTCTTAATATCACCTGTGATGCAGATTAGGAATTGGGCTGATAACAGGACAACTTTGTAGAGAAGCATCTGTTTGTAATTCAACAGAACAGGTGGGATTATTGTCAACACAGACTGTGACACTGAGGACCATCCATCCTTGACTAAATGGAAATCCCCTCTTACACATGCTGACATGTGCTCTCAACTTCTACCATAGCTGATCATGATAAGACACTTACATATATAGAGATATACTTAGATATACAATTAAAAATGTAAAGGTAAATACAGCTATTACGACAGCATCAAGCTACCTCAAGCTACATGTCCCCTATACCTGGCCTGTGATAGCCTTTCAAAATCGAGGATGAAGGGGAGCAGTGAAAGGTCATAAAGGAAAGATTTTAAATAATAAATTCTATTGTATACATGCAAGTTCTCACATATGTACAGTACATTTTATTTGAAAGATGTAATGTGGACAATTATTTGACTGCATAAGATGCAAAAACTGATTCAGAAATTTCTTAACACTGATCACATTTACTGTGTGTTACTCTAACGATTTGAGCAGCGCAAGCCATGATACGCCCAATATCAGGTTGTCTTGACGAAATCGGGCTATGTACCAGATGTACCGGCGTTCCAGTACCTGATCAGGTGAGTTGGCGACACTATGACTACAGCCAAAAAGTCGTCCGAGAGATTGCAACGAACCTAGTCAGATTATAGCTGTTTACATGTCTCGTAGTTATAGTGTGACGATAATGATGGGAAAACAAATATATATATGTGTGTGTGTGTGTCATTATTTAATTTCGATTTGCGATATGGTCGCCTGTGATGATAAGACGATTTACGTATCATATTTATTTCACTTTTTTATTCGAAGCCCCTCAACAAAATGAAATATATGGTGTGAAGACCAATTAATCCAAAGTGAAACTTACCATGCTTTAGACAACGAACTGCTTCCATTCTCGTCGATCTATATTTACATCTGATGATGCATTTCGACAAACTTCCGGCAATACAAACATAGCGCGTAAAAGTAAAATATTAAACTCGATCCAATTACAATTAGGTTTACAAACGAATGCTCCAATCAAAATTGTGGTCTCATTTGACAACCGTAATGGATTACGCAGTTCGTTTTCTCGCATTTTGTTATTCAGGTTATATACACATTCGACTCTCAGTAGAGATGTACATATTTTTATGTGTATGAAGAAAATTCTTTTTAACGGCCAGGGTCATAATAAGAAGTAATCGTGTGCATCTACGTAATTTTTTTCCGTTGTGTTGTTTATTATTTTCTTTAATTTAATAATCAATTACATATTAATATAGAGTCTAGTATCAAACACAATACAATCGGTTATACTTCTTACTTACTACCATTAACAGTAACATTGAAATAAACGTAGATGTTTATTTATTTAGTTTATGTTGTTTTTCAGTCATTAACCGGATTAGACACACAGTACTCTCATATTGAGTAACTTCTCTCCACTGAGGAAATTTAAAATGTACCTGTATGATTCATCAAGATTAGTAGTAAATGTAGGTACACTTGTATGTGTTTTGATTTTTAAGAAATTAAAGGTAATAACAAATCCCAACAGGACATATTTCCATTTGTGTTAATTGTGTTCTACTCATATTCCCTTATCATTCTTGTATTTAGACCTCATAGTTTACATGTATCTATAAAACTTTTTACTTAAGTCTCTTATGTTAGTGGCTCGAATAACTGGAGTAAGAAATGCTGATAATATTTTGTTAAACTGTCGGCCCCTTAGAATCCTCAAAAACATCAAGAAAATACCAACCATATTGTACAAGTGGTCATCCGGATATTTTATCACGTTTTCCATTTTGATATTAGGAAAGTCCAAGACCGGAAGTTTCACCGCCTGATACAAAAATGAAGCAAGATTGATAAAGGTTTGCTTTCGTCGTAGAATTGATTCTAATTAGTTTTATTTTGAAATATGTATTGTATGATAAGTAGCAAAGCTGTTAAATTACAACACAATCTTCTGGTCATTTGTTAGAATGAAAATCTAGATTTACTATTAGATTTGTGATCACGTTCAGTCAGAGACTACTCCAACAATGTTAGAGGTTTACACGGCGAGATACTTTTGATTGGCGCCGTGTAACAGATCCGCCAATGTAATCAGGTGGACTAAGACCTCTTATAGGTATAGGAGTAAGTCAGAGACGTGATATACACGTCTCTGCGTACAGTGTACAGTGTTCAAACCGGGATCCTTCACATTACAACAAGTGTGGAACGTGAACCTAATATTAAAGGTACAAGAATGATAATTGACTCAGTGGCACATTTTTCAACAACATATCAGGATCTGCTGGTATTGCAACAATATGTACACTGATTCACAATTGATTACAATATGACAATACAATAATTATTTGTGAACTACTGCATGATGTTAGTCCGAAGGGCTGTGACTATGTATCCACGATTTTATTTTTGCCTTTGTCGCAGATCGCATCAAGAAAAAAATAAGTCGGTCCTAGATAGTCAAAACCCTTCGGACTAGTCTGATGTAGGCATATGGACTGCAATATATGGATGACGTATTTTCATATCTTCGTATATCTCCAGTGATAATTATCTTAGAAAACGATTAATTTCAGTCTGATTTTTCCTCTGTTCATTGGGACTCAGATCTGCAGATGTCTGAGTCATAGTCGCTTATCATATGCATAACTCAGCAATAATTTTGGAACCCACTAGACTGTATCTATTATTAATGGAGCTCATCAAAATTTTGCAAACATTATTCTGCTCCTTTTAAACAATCCTACAAAATTGCTGTCAACTCCTTTTCCGTCAATTTCAGTAAATATCCAAACCAGAGGTATTTATAAATAATAACATATAAATTGTAAAATACTAAATTGTTTCTTAAACTCTACCAATGTAATTCTTTTGTATCCATTGCCTAGTTAGTCTGAAGGGTTCTGACTGTATAACAGATCAACTGTGACCAATACAATCCCTAATGTAGTTGGAACCCTTCAAACGTTTGCCAGGTAGATATTATATTATCATTATACATGTAGCTGCATCATACATAGTTTACATACAAGTAGCAGATTAGTTAATTACATTTATTGACATAAGATTACGGGTCTACCTTCTAGTCAATTTAAGAACAAACATTAAAGATCCGACATGTCAACAACCAAAGAAAAATGATGTACCTTTGTAAACCTCTTGTTCTAGATTTATTACAAAATAAAAAAAAAAAGTTATTAAAACAAATTCCATTACATTCTTTCATTTTGAAATGGTTTGTAAAGATTGAGACAGTAAATGCTTGTAAACTTCACTGATCATATTTTACAAATGTATTTCTGGTATTTTCTGTTGCAGAAATTGATTTTTAAATATTACAAAAAGCCATGAGCATCAGTACAGATTCTGTTGCTGGGTCTGACAAATCCCTTATTCAGAATGAGAATAACGATCCAAACATATCAGATGGAGGAACAGGAAATGGTGCTAGGAAGAGGACTGGATGCAGGTCAAAAGCTCAAAAGGATGGAGCGAGTGAGGATATTTACAGGAAACTTTCAGCGATCAATGGAGAGATTAACAAAATGAACAGAAAACAACTTCAAGAGCGTCTCACAGAATTGAAAATGGATACAAAGTAATTATCTATTGATATCTAGGATTTAAATTTAAGATAAAGAGACATTCGTAATGTTTCTGAAGGATTCTTTGAAAATTATTTTAACGCATATGTACAGAATTATGCTTTTTTTTAGGTATATTCAAGCCTGGGTTGTCTGTAAAGTTTGAAGTCTTTTAAATTCTTTTAATATCTCATTGAAAGTTTTCTCAATTTTTACGAAACAATGTAGAGTAAATGTTTTTCTTATGGTGTTTGAATACCTTTTAAAACCAATATAAATATATATATATATTTAGTGATTACATATATATTTCAGCATACTGTTCTATATCTTAATATTCTGTTTCATGCAAGAAACTCATGTGAAACATATACCTTGTTGAATAATGTAGTATTAAGACTTTTTAAAACTACAAGTTTTATTTGATTTTCAGGGGTGTAAACGATGTTCTAAAGAAGAGGCTCAAGTTGTACTATAGACATAGAAAACTTATGAAAGCAAATGTCCGTGTCCCAAGTACAAAACCATTGTATGATTATCTACTCATCATAGACTTCGAGGCTACTTGCGAAGCTGATACACCTGGTTATCCACACGAAATTATAGAATTTCCCATTGTCCTCATCAATGTTCATCAAAACACTGTGGTAAGAGTGAAAAAAAGTTATCTTCTCCTTTTTTAGGGAATAATGCAAGGCTTTTGGCAATGGAAATTATTAAGTCTTATAGTTTGAGAATAAAACACACAAAGTTTTTTTTGTTTACAGGTAAGTTTATGTTGACTTTAAATTTAAGAGGTGGTTTTGTTTTTTGTTTGAGCAAAACTTATGTCATTTGGGGATCTTAAGGGCTCAATGTCCAAGTCTGATAATCATGCTTTTTCAGTGGGACTTGTCGAAATTGTTTGAGAATCCAATAGATCTTTTAGTAATGGTTCTCATCAAAAATTTCGAAATGTTGTGTTGGACTTGTTTGAACAATCCTACTTTACTGGACTTACCAGTAATTTAAACAAGTTCATTTTGAGGGTTGGCACTTTTAAGTTAACTCTTTATGACTGAAACATTTTGGTGAATGTGATGGGATTCAATTGCATGATGTTAAGTGTATATTGGATCTCTCTTATCCAATCTCCACTAATCCTATTATTTAATGATTCTTAAGTAATCACTAACTCAGATGTCCCAGTCCATAAGTAACCAGCCACCATCAGTCCAGTTGTCTGAGTCACAAAGTGTCCACTAATCCAGATATTTAATGATTCTTAAGTAATCACTAACTCAGATGTCCCAGTCCATAAGTAACCAGCCACCATCAGTCCAGTTGTCTGACTCACAAAGTCTCCACTAATCCAGATATTTAATGATTCTTAAGTAACCTTTATTGTTTATTTGTTAGCCTTCTGCAGTCTCAGAAAATAAAACTGATCATCGGCATACATTAATAAACTAAGAGATACCTCACAAAATTCAATTGCATCGCAGTTTTGATATAAATCATTTTCTAGATCGTTAATATACAGAGAAAACAAAATTGGAGATAACAATTCACTTTGATACAATCCGAGATTACCAGAAAAATTGTCAGATAATAATCCATCTTTTCTGACACAAGTTTTTACATGAGCATACAATGATTGTATAATTTTAGTAACCACTAACCCAGGTGTCCCAGTCCATAAGTAACCAGCCACCATTAATCCATGCATCCAGCTCACAAAGTCTGCAATAATCCAGATATTTAATGATTCTTAAGTAACCACTAACCCAGGTGTCCCAATCTAATAACTAGTAACTAGCCACCAGTAATCCATGCATCCAGCTCACAAAGCCTGCAATAATCCAGATATTTAATGATACTTAAGAAAACAATTATTCAGTTATCCCATTTAAAAAGTAACCAGCCACCTCTAATCCAGATTTCCCATTAACCTACTGCTACTTGTCTAATCCAGACAGAACAGCCACTATTGATCCAGTCATATCACTAACTCTACTACAGAGTAATACTTATATTTTGTTGTGTCCACCCATTTCTTACCCTGTTATAATTCTTAATGAGTCACCAACTATTTTTCCCATGTCCTCTCTCTATCTGTTCTTTGAGTAACATTCACATGTACATGATTAAAACGAGGAATAGTAAAATCCACCTGAGGACTATTGTGTGAAAGTTTATAAAATAATACAATGTTCCTAACATTTCACCTGATATTACAGCAATATTAATATGGTCTGACACACACAAACACAACGTGTCATTAGTTGATCTTCACTAGTGTGAAAATGTTATCCGAGGTGATTTTTTTTATACACATTGCATGGGGGATAACTCTATGTTGTAGGTGGATGAATTTCATTCCTTCTGTAAACCGGTGCTGAATCCACAGTTGTCAGAGTTCTGTACAGAACTGACTGGTATTACCCAGGCAAGTAACAGACCTTAACTTAAATTCCACATACCTCGGTATCAACAGTTTATAATTTAGTTATTTTTAAGGAAGTGACAGTAATAATCCTCTCGAGCTGGTAAGCAGCTGATTGCCTTAAAGCTCCCAATGCAAGTTAAAAAAAAAGGTCATTTTTTTTTTAGATAAATAAGTTCCTGTTACCCAAATGCTTACTGAAGTGTATAACATCACTATAATTTCAAGTTACAGTATTGATTTATAAAAACTGACACACAATAATTCCTAAAAAGTTCCTATTAGCATATACATATTGTTAATAATATGAAGTACTCAGGGATATGAACAGGTAGTTTACTCTTTTCCAAAGGAGACCTTTTTGTTTCTTTTGCAGGCAGATGTAGATGCTGCTGATGAATTTCCAGCAGTCTTTCAGAAAGTCGAGGAATGGATGAGAGAAAAGCACCTTGGCGAAGGCAATAAATTTGCAGTTGTCACGGATGGGTAAATATGTGTTTTTTTCATCAAAGGTATACCTGAGATCAGAGCATTATTCATTTGACCCTTGACCTGTGGCAATAACAAAAGTTAAACTACCAGTGTGAAAGCATTTGTAAAATAAAAATGTTTCTTGAAACTCAAGAGAAAATGTCATTTTTGGGAAACATACCCTTTAAGATTAATATTCACACACCTTATCTGTCAAAAACCTGTGTAATATGGACACCTCAACTATAAAGACATAATCTTTTTTATGTAAATTGGAAAGAAATTTGACCCTTTTCTATCCCTTGATTGTAACAGTGTTCATGACATTCTTTACAGATTGTTATGAAAATTTGAGTTTATCATATTTCTTGGTTTTTTTCAGGCCTTGGGATATGAGCCGCTTTCTTTGTCTCCAATGCCAGCACTGTGACCATCCCTTTCCACGTTGGGCCAAAAAGTGGATTAACATTAAGAAAACATATGGATCATTTTATAAGTGTCAACGTAAAAAATTGGAGGACATGTTGATATATCTGGGGATGAAATTTGAAGGTAAACAGCACTGTGGCCGTGATGATTCGAGAAATATAGCAAGGATAGCTATTAGACTGATAGAAGATGGTTGTCGAGTCAAAGTGAATGAATTCATTTACAGTTATCCAGGTGCCAAATTTCTGAAGTTTTCAAATGTAGGAACAGAATCAAGTGACAGTGATGAGAAGGAGGATAATGATAGACGTACTGAACGAGCTGATGACAAGAAAATGAAAGAGGTCAAAATCAGCACACATAAGGATGACAAAGATGTTACTACAGCAATGAACAAATTGTGTATAGAAGAAAAGACAGAGGAGAAAGAAGAGGATTTGTCTGATCTGTTGGCATATTATAAGCTGCAGAAATCTTGACCAGATGTATCATCTATGAAAGACATTTTGGATCTTTTGTGTTTTTGATAGTAAATTACAACATTTTGAATTGATAAATAGATGATATAGGACCTTTCCTGCTGTTAAGAATGAATCAGGATATTTTCAGTTGATTATGAATTAAGAATATTTTGTTTTGTTGATAATGAATTGCAACAGTCTAAATCATATTTTGTTTATTATTTAATTCATTGATTTGGTAGGAGTTATAAACATTGTATGAAACATGTAATAACTCTCTTGTCATCTCATAGATAAATTACTTATCATGATTGTTTCCTCTTTGAAAAATCAGCTTGAAATTTGTACATGTTTAAAGGGAAAATATTGGAGTTTTCTCATAATTCTTCATAAATATTAGCTTTGATCAATAGAATCTACACTTGTGTCTATTTCATGATGAGTAAAGTATTGCATTATTTAATCCGACTCTTGCTTTAAGGCATTTATCATATTAAGATATTGATCTTGTTGATAAACTCAATATAACACTGACATTCATGATAGATCTGTACAAAGTTAATATCTTATATTAATATACTAGTCCTTCTCTGGTAAAATAACTGCAATATCTCTTGTTTTTTAGTAGAATCATCAACAGCAACTAATTTATTGTCTCCTGATGGATTAAAACCCCAGACTAGGAGTTGAAGTATACAGAAATGTACCTGTATAAGGTATTTACCTGTATGGTCCCTTACTGTCCCCCCAACCCCTAACAGCCTGGGGTCAGGCTTAATGCAGAAATGTTCCCTACTGACAGCCAACAAGTATTACATAAACTTATTACACTGTCTTTTTTGTCTGCTTAAACTAGTAATACAGTTTTGCTTTTTTAGATTTTGTTTGTTTTTAAAATATCATTATATATTTGTTTTAAATTTTCTACCTTAAGACACCAAATGTGTTTCAGAAGAATGAAAAATTTCTTTTGTTTGAAATTCATATTGAAATCAATATTTATGGTTTTTGTTTTATTTATTGTTTTTATTCCAAATTGAAGCAACTTGAAAATTTCTCAATACATATGTCTTAGTATGAACAGACATCAACTTAAAGAAAGGTAAACAAATCATGTTGTAAGTGATAATTATGTCCCCCAAACGAAGTGGGGTGACGTATTGTGTTTGCTCCGTTTCTTCTTATTATTATTTTTTATATTATTCTTATTTATTTCACTTTCTTCCACCAGGAAGGTTTCTGACACATTTCTCAAAAACTATTGCATGGAATTTAACAGAACTTTACACACATATTCATACATGCGAGGCGGAGTGCAGGCCGCTTGAATTTTTCCAATCGGTCATCTGAGCAGTCAGCTGTGGTCAAAATTTGGCCAAATTTTAGATATGGTCTGATTTTCATGAAAATTGGTATATATGTATAAGGTGGCACTAGGAGCAAAATGGCGTAGTCCATTTTTTATTCGGCCAACGATCGGTCATCTGAGCGGTCAGCTGTGGTCTAAATTTGGCCAAATTTTAGATATTGTCCGATTTTCGTGAAAATTGGTAAATATGTATTAGGTGGCACTATAGGAGCAAAATGGCGTAGTCCATGTTTGGCACGACTGCAGGTCTGATTATTGTTATCATTTATTGCTGAAGGGGCCATTTGGTGGACATTTGTAATGGTCCTCATTACAATTAGTACTTGTTAAATCATGTGATTTGAAATAAGCCATTCTCTTAATTAAGAGTATTTGTATAACAACCCCATTTGATTTTTCGCCTTTTTTTATCCATAAAAAGAAAGGCTGTGTAAATTGTGATTGGAGTGAAAAATTGTTAGTTTTATAAACCTTTTATATAATCTTCAGAGGGCAAAATAAAAGTGATATCAATTGATGTATAATAGTACATATTGAAATTACCTGGATAGACAATATACAATATTTCATGCTTGGATGGTTTTTTCTTTGATTTCAGTGAAAAAGAACATTCTATCAATCAAAATTTAAGAAGTAAATCTTTAATGAATAAATATTAAAGATCTACAGCGTTTCATGTTTTCTCTTTATCATTGGCAGATGTTGCTACAAGACATTTGTCCAGTTACTGTATGTCCAATGTCCATCATGTGTAACGATAATATTTTTCAATCTCTTGAGACCTATTGCAATATTTTGATGGAACTTTGTGATAATGATAAGTTTGATATGGGAATAGAGGCTGTACTTAAGTACTGAAGATGTTACTAAACCTAAAAAAATCAGTAATTAAAGGACCATTAATACAAGGAGGAAGCTGAGAATCACAGAGAAACAGTATGTTATGAAGGACCATCTCGGTTTGGTTTTAGTAGGTCACGGTATAGTACAATATTCAGAAAGCGTCTTTCGTCTAGTTTCAATGATTTTTGAGGATACTAAGCCATTAAGGGATTTTTAGTGGTGTAGCTTTAATGCAGTGTTAAGTTTAGCATCGCTATTTCTTCAAAGAAATGTTCACATGTCTTATCACTAAGAGCAAAAACAGAGAAAAGAAGGGAAAACTTTCGCAGATCATATGACGACCACAATGGTGGGCGCCAAGACACCTCTGGGATCGCATATTTGGTTATACTCTCAGTTTCTTACAATGAAACTTTTCTATATAAACTTCCTACCCTTCACATTCAACGTTATTTAACGAGAACAAAGTCATTTTAAAGAAAAATAAAATGATAAAAAGCGTGATTGTTGATAGCCCCCTTCTTACTCCATATCTTACATTTCTAGATAGATAGCATCTCTATCGCCGTTTCGCGACAGCCTTTTCACTAGTCGGGCTCCTCATCCGTGATGTTTGAAGGTGACTGGTTGACTTTTGACGCCATTAGTTGATAACTATTAATATGTTTAGCTGGATCATCGACCAGTACCTGTTCCTGTTCAGCCATGCGGGTGTTTATCCGAAAACCCTTTAAAGTCTATCAATGTAAAAAAAAAAATACGTAACCGGGTCGTGATAACATAGCAGTGACTGCAATATGTCATGAAATGATAGTAATTAAAGTTCACGATCGCTGGCATTATACCAAGGAAGAGAAGGGGAGGGAGCGCGCAGCTGGTAGTAATTCCTCACGCAGTCAGGAAGACATTTTGTTCTGGTAGCTGGTTCCAATTGATCACAGTGTCCACAAAAGTGAGTGATTATACCAAATAGTCTATGATTAGTAAAGTCGAAGAGTATGTGCTATTTCATGTATTGTTTTGTTTCTTTTTTTTTCCGGGAGATTACTGTTAAAGTGAATATCGACATCTGAACTTAAATAAAACCATTGCAAAATTTGAACAAAAGAACCATTTTTTGCTGAGACTCCTGAAAAAGTACAAGGAATACAGGACTAAGTGTTCCGGAAGAGTAAGCTTCTTCTGCTTCATCGAAAACACCCTCCTTGTAAACATTGGGCAAGCCAAGTAAGAAATATCACGTTCTCAAATGAGAACAAGGTATACGACAACGGAACCAACAGGCAAACTAAAGAGCATCAAACACGCCCAGCTTCATATCGCACAAAGAAATAGAATATTTCTCAACGACAGAAAAAAAATCACCATATTTTTATCAATTTAAAGACAAGACGTCATTAATATATCTGACAACGAAATCAAACGACTTTGCAAGGTCAACGTGACTTATTTTGATGTGCTGTTCAATGAGTTCAGCCTCGCATGAAAATGAAAAGAAGTGAGTCAACAGAGGTGCACAGTTTCCATAAGTATGAACACATCCATATATAGGAAATCCGAATGATAATGACAATAAATAGAATCAAAATTAAAGAGACAATTGGTAGACTCATGGGACCGTGATGTAGTCCGAATAAGTTCCTCCGACCCGGACCCTCTGTCGGAGGGACAGAACGTTTATGATAACAATCATGTAAGTAAAGGACCGGAAGGGATGGCAGTGTACATGTATATACTCGTAGATCATCATGTGGGAATGAACAATGATTGGGTACCAAATGACATACTTAAAATCTCTCATTTCTTGTTCTTCATGATTCGAATATCAAACCATTAAATTTCCGTTAGAAATGACTACATGTTTATAAACTCTGATCGATATCGCGTAAGATTGAAATACCTTCTTTTTTCTACAATTTTCACATACCTTTAATGAATATGAAGTAATTTTTAGTAGCTCTGGTGACTATTTCCAGTAGTTTGTTTTTGAAAAGCCAACTTCCCTGGTTACACCCTTGACTTGACTGAAGATTCTCTCCTTCAAGGAGAAAATTCGTGAGAGCAGTACAACTGCTTATAGCAAGCTGGTGATGTTAAATGGCTGAACTATTTGCATCAAATCTTTGAACTAGTATGCATATAGTAGGTTAAGCAGGTTGAACTTTATAATATCATTTAGTTGTGTATATCATTTTCTACTTTTTCTCAAAGAAATATAGACAAAAAAAAAAAAAAAGGATTTTCTGTTCTGTCGAAAACGTTCATTTGTCGTTTTAACTCAGTATTTGACGTCTTGTACGTAACGGATTTCATCGGAAGTAGACTTATTCATCATTATACTAATCAGGGCTTATGCCAAGCCATGAACATACCGAAACTGAGGTTTAATATCCAACTTACCACATCTTCAGGTTTGAAATTAATATTGCGATGTTGTTGGTGTGTTGTTGTTTGGGCTCTATCTTCTGTTTATAATGGGTGCGAATCCAAGCTAGCACGTCCTTATTATTTAGTGAGGGTATTCAGTCCGAACTTTGATTCGTATTTCTTCTAAATAAACTAAGCGTAAGCGAACCCATTTCATTTTCGTTCGTCCAATAATATGACAAACGTGGACGCCAACTGCGATTCCGATAATGTTTTGAGTCAACATTTGGACACGTTCGAGGAGTACATGGAAGAGCGAGAAAACGAGGACAATTTTATAACACAAAACACTTTATTTAATATTCTGGATACAGAGAAAGAAATGGTATACACACCCAAAGTAACGCAGAAGATTGGTCGGACATGTTGGACAGTGCTTTTTGGAAATAGGAGCTGGGATGCAGGTACTGTTTCATTACTGTGTATGTTTCTCAATAAGTATACGTGTACAACTCTCTGCCTATGTGTATACACACACATGCTCACTTGTGCAGTCAGCTGGAACACATCAAGCCGACAGTGATTGTGTCCGCGGATCGATTTGGTCTGATGGCAGGTATACCTAACTTCTCGAACATACATGTACAGATGTAAGTATACATGTTTATTGTTATGACTACACAACTTAAGCGATGAACTGCGGTTTGACAAGTGATCATAATCATAATAATGACATATCATTATTTTAACTGAAAGGGAAAGAAACGTCTATTTTGTTGCCAATGCCGCTACCTGTCCCAAATCCCGGAAGTTATATGTACATGAAAGTAGAGTTTGGTGTTTAGATTGAACTTGAAATACATTTTAAGGAAATGATAGAAAGGAAGTTTATACTGCAAATAATTAAACAGTTTTGTGTTATGGATCCTGACACAATGCATCATATCATAAACAAGTTGACACATCTAAAGGTACAATATTTTCCTTCCAGGTGTACAATGGCGGAAGCCATATTCCTATGAAATAACAGCACTGCTCTCAGGCGTCTCAGTGGGTGGAGGATTTTAGACTGACGCCCAATGGTAAACTTAGTTGTATCCCTATCCGTATGTCTCACTCAAAATAATTGTCTTTTACCTACACCGGAATGAGTGTTACTATTGGTATCAAGTGTGTATCTTCGAACAAAATGAAAAAAAAAAAAAAAACAGTTTTGTCACTTATATGAAATGCTTTCCAGAATTCCCTTAAGTACAAATGTACTTGATAGTCTTTTTTCTGTTACTTGTTAATACGTTTATATGTAAAGGTAATACATCGGAATGTTATGTTCTCATCATTTCCGATTTTATTTTGTTTGATATAAAATCTCGGATAAATGAAATAAAGCGTATCGCACATTCCATAGATATGGGAGGATTGCAGTGAGTGGGGAAAAAGTCATTTTACCTTACACTAACTACAGTGAGACAAAGAGGTACGTTTGGGTGTGATATCGTGAAAGGATGCGGGGAAGTCTTGAATTCCACGGAGAAGCTGTGTATGTAGTGCTCTTTTTTTACATTTCCAGGCGGGTTTTAAGCAGATGGTGACATAATAAATCTTGGGGAACGTGTTTTATGATTGTGAATTTCGAGGGTTTTGCATTCAAGGGGTAAGGAAAGGGTCCCAATAAGAGAAAAAAAAGACCAATTAAAATTGTTTTTTTCACAATATTTCTTAATGTCAATCCTAAAATTGTAAAATTCAGGGTCATTTCGGCTCCTAGCGTTAATTGTGTGGAGATAATATAGTTGAATTTATCCATATTTACCTGAAGGCATCTTAAGGGAAATCTAAAGATGACTCAAAAAGAAGAAAACGCTTTTTGAAAGTCAGAAATACCCAGGGAAGTTTAACTGAACTATGAAAATCATGCCTGCAGTGACCCTACTGCCACTTTTTGTGTGAGGTTAAGTTTATCATAGGTTATACATTGCAATGCATATTTTGACACGTTCCCCTACATGTAGGTCACACGCATCATTCGTATAAGCATTCTCAAAGTGGTTAATCTCCATCAAGATAGGGACCCAAAGTAGGCAATCAGCCAAAATAAAGCTAAACAATCTTCTAATGCCAAAGACAACCAGAAGTATTTTGTCCGTTTTCAGAGAGATTTTATGTCATGAATGAATTCAATTTATCATTTGACCATATATTAACCGTTAACAATCGTACATGATCAGATGATGATATTAAACAACATAGGTATGTGCTATCATTAGGTCTTATATTAACCGTTAGCAATCGTACATGATCAGATGATGATATTAAACAACATAGGTATGTGCTATTTTTAGTGCAACTCCTACGTTTTGTTACAGGTCCAGCTTACCTGACATGGCTACCGATCTGTCAAATAAACTGAACCATGACTTAGACAGTTATGGATTTTCAAGAAGCTTCACTGATTATCGAAGAAAGGTAACGACTTGCTTTGCCTACGAAGTGGGCGATGATAAAGTTGAACAACGTAACGACGTCCGTAACATATTTGTTGGCAGTAAACGTGATGCATTGAGTAGTGTGTCTGATGACCAAACAGATTATGATAATCTCATGGTCTCAACACCCCTGGTGTTCTGTGATGAAAGAAACATAGACCTAGCAAATCAGTATATATCAGGCATGCCTAACTCTGTCGATCCTTTGTTGATTTTTGAAAGTGGGCCAAACGCTGGGTATAAGAAAATAAAGGTTTTCCTGTATGAAAAAGCAGTTCAGCCCTGGATGTTCACGAAGAAAATGGATACGATTTACATGCCAAACACATTAACAAAAGAACTTATGATGTCGATGGCTGGCGACACTCACAGGAACCTAGAAGTTGAAACCCATGGACCAGCTGTAAATGCGGTAACAACGGTTTATTCTGGAAAGAAAACCGTGGAATGGGATTTTGTTATGGCCTACAAATGTCCGTTTCTACCATCAGACTACGATGAGTGGTGTGAAAGAAAAAGGACCTACAACTGGCCTCCCCCGTGGATTATAGAGGCAACAAAGAAAGATGGCTGTCTGGTCGTTAGCGTTGGTCATAACGCTAGCGACACCACAGGTTGGCGTCTTTCAGTGACGAAAACAGAACATTACCTCACAAAGTCATTTAATGATACTCAGATGAAATGTTACACCTTACTGAAGCTGGTGTTGAAGTGGATCATCCAACCACAATTAAAAGATCCCTTGAGTTCCTATCATATGAAAACTGTGATGTTCTGGATGTCTGAGGAACGCGAGAGTTGTTTCTGGAGACCTGACAACCTGATCGACTGTTTCATTTCTTCCTTATTGAAACTGAAAACGTTCGTTGAAAACAAATTCTGTCCAAACTATTTCTTGACTGCTCTTAACTTGCTTGAAGGGAAACTAGAAGGTGTCATGCATATGGAAGTCCTCAGAATCTTGGACAGTATTATCGAAGAAGGACCTGCTGTAGTGTACAGATGTTTGCCGTTAGATGCCCACCTGAATGGTTCGGAATGTAACCATTACCATAATGAATCGTGCTTATGTTTACAGAAACATAACCTCAATCAACGAATTGAGGAAATAGATTTCATTGATTTTGCAGTCATTAACAGATCTTCTACATCAGAAACCCTAAACCTCAACGCCAATTCTAACCCTAACCGAATCAAAGATTCGTTTCAATCATGTTGTAGCAGGTTAGTTGACTGGTACGTCGTCAATGAATATCTCAATCGGTCAATATCACATTCTCATGCATTCTCAACTTTATCAGTATATGAGGAAATGGGCCTTCCAAACAAACGTCTGTATTCCTTACAAAAAAAGTACATCGCTGTGCTTCGTGGGAATGGACATGTTGCACGGATGAAACTAGCCACGTTCTTACATTACAGAAGACGATTGGAATATTGCATACCTCTCCTATCGCTCGCAATAAAGGCAATGGAGTCCAGCCCAGCATTCGAAATGTGCAAAGAGGAAGGGGCAAGTGCAAACCATACTGAGCAAATTGAGGGTATTGAATGTGTCTACCTCACACAGCTCATTAAGGAGTTTCGGGTGTCCGAGATTGTGTTTGGCCCTTGTGACACGCATTTAATCCCCCCGGATCTAAAGAACGAGATGAGGCGACCAAAGACAGTGAATGGTACTCATTACGAAGGATGGGTGTTTGTCGACTCCATAGTGTACGCGTACTACCTTATGATTGTGACCCTTCATGACATGCGCAGATATAGCGGTATCATCTCTTTGTTCAGACGGTTCCACAACGTCTACACTCAAAAACCAGGCGCCATCCGGATTTTCAGGAAAGAGATGGCAAAACGATTGTTCGAGCATGCCTTCATGTTGGTGTGGAAAACGACCAATGGATTCACTGACTTTTCCGGGTCGATGTGATATAGATATAAGTGCATCACAACAGAAAAGCTTAAAGTTGATTGAACTGTTCTGTACCCACGTGTGTTTTGCTTACATAAGCAGTTTGGGCGTAATGATATGACCTTTTGAAAAATGCCGCTAATTGATATGTAAAACTGACAATTTCACAAATAATGAAATGTAGAAGATATAACTCATTACAAAATATAGCCAGAAACTAATTGGTTTGTTATCTTAAAAAATGATAGAAAATATAGATATTGAAAGTGAACAAATTAGCTGATTTCAAAACTGAATGGAAAATTAGTCGGCAGGATGCTAGATGAATTGGCTATTTTTTGAACCATTAGATCAAGCAGAGATCATAGATAGATATATTTCGAATCTTCGCTGTAAGAAAAGACCGATTGATCATTGCTGCAGAGTTGCTATTTGTTTGTTTATCAAATTGATAGAAAAATACGTGTGCAATAAGCTGAGAAATGATACACCAAATGTTAAGGTTTTCGCCGTTAAAAGGGAGGTAACTCGCATAACCTTTGTTGACTTCGGCTATTATCGATTTATTTCTCAATTTAAAAAATCACACTTTACGTGCAACTTTTCCGAGCTTAAACCGTACAATACAATACACGAATATCCTGTCATTAAGTATATATGTTATCAGATCGGTCTCAATGATTTTTATCAAACAATATAGAAACAGACATTGCGTCACGAAATCAGCTTTTCAACCAGCGGAGCACAGAACCGTCGATGGGCGGCGAAACGCCTTTAGTACTTAAGAGGGGCTATACTTTACACTGTTTCTTGCATCGTTGGGCTAACTTTTTTATAGCCTAATATGTTCGAGAATAAAATGAACAGTTAAAACTGAAATGTATTGATTTATTTGCATTTGAGTTAGTTAGATACTGAGGGAAATTTCGACAATATGTCACAGCTTGAAATGATTGCTAGGTTTTTTTTCAGTATTTGGGGTGGGTGTAGAAGAGGCGTTTTCAAATTACAAAGTTACTCATACTAGAAACAAATCTTAATGAAATTTAGAAAATGTTTTTTTATTGATGATTATTACATCTGCATTAATTTTGTTGTGAGGTGAAAATGTTTGGATTTATTTGTTGGGTTTATCGCTCCGTGAACAGCAAGGGTAATTTTTAAACGAAATCTCCTTGAGACATGTCATTAAACCCTTTTAAGTTTCCAGGGATGCAACTACGTCAGCACAGACTTGTCCACTTCTCAATTTCCTGAGAAATACAAACTGCCGCTGGTTAGGAGTGTTAAACCATGTACCTCGGATCTTCTTCTGATGTAACGTGGGACAATTCCATTTGTATTAAGATTAAGCTTTCTATTACGGCCTCAAGTAATTATGGGAAATAGCATTCGATGTCAATATCAAATCAAACAACCTCCAGGAATGATTATTTTACACTCGTCAATTCTTTACATATTTAACGCTGAATACAGTATTTACAGTACAGATTTAAACCATATATATTTACCATAGAGGGGAGGTACAAAGACTTCAAGATGATGAAAAAATGGAATTTTCTTCTGCATTGTTGTAACGTTCTAATTTTGCGATTTGAGAATAAATGAGAATATGAATAATAGCGTTTGTATTTTAAACCGACATCAATATTTATTTAAAATTTAGACGTTGCGCTCAGAATCGATGACTACAAGTCAGTTGACCAAAGTGCAGCTGTTATATTCTGCCAGAAACCCATGAATTTCTTGGGAAAATGTCTTAAAATTGTGAAAAATTATCTATCACTTTATTATCGTTATTTTTATTCATTTGTGTGTTTTTCCCCTCATTTTTTTCTCGCGTTGTAACGCGGCACATGAATACAGTATGCACAAGTGATAAAGGTTCTACATAAAACACATGCTGATAGTGCTGAAAATTGTACCTACTCATATGAAATGTTATACAACCAACCCAATTGACCTTAACTATGTTTTCTTGGTTATGTACCTGTATAAATACAATACATATCTATTTATTTATTTTGGTATTTTCTCTCATGGTTCCTTGCACTACACTGCCATCATATCGGTGGAGTAGGCAGGATGCCACAGAACTTTGTTAGGGTAAACTGAATGTGTTACGTTAAAAACCAATACAAGTATATATTAGACGCTTGCCCGGACAGACAAATGTGGATAGGTAGGCATGGTAACTCATTTTAGAAAAGTGGAAATAGGAGTAATTTCCCCTTACCTATCACTGGTGTATAGAGTTTCTCTCCGCTTTATTGTGAAACATTGGATATTTAAAATGTGTACTATAATTATATACATGTAAAATATAATCATTTATAAAATAGTTATCTCCGTGTTAGTTATTTAAATATTTTTGGTATGTTTGTTGGTTTGTATTTTTGTTTGTTTTTTTTTCTATTTGATTTATGGCAAGCATTTCATTATTCACCTACACCTAATTGTGCATCTATTGCCTTCATCGAACTTACTTGTGACCTTCGTCTGATTTGCTGGGACACACAACTCGCGTCCACCTTGTGTATGCACTTTTTACTTTTTTCTACACATTTTGTCTGAGCAGTTATTTCATCTTATACATGTACATGACATTCACTTTGTATGTCTTTGACCTTCACCTTGTAAGTCTGTAATCTAATGTTATTTTTATCTTATATAAATAACAATTAAAGACCTTGCTTTTTTCACACTGTTGTACATTTATAAAGTATGTTGGATTCACTGATTTACATTAAATTCATTTATTTAGTATATATTGATTTCATCTTGTTTTTTTTTTATCAGTTTATTTATTCTTTACTTTTTTCTTTACTCTTTAATCAAAATTTTCTTTCGGATACTCAGTATCAATGCAGATATCAATTCAACGACCATTACATTCTATAACCAGCATCGATTAAAATCAAAGACTTATCGTTAGTATATTTTGCTATGTCTAAAACATTATCAACAATTCTATCCTACTTACGAATTCCAGCGGTGGTCGGTGTTTCCGCAAGATGATTAATTTTCATTAACTATCTCTGATAGACAAAATTATTTTTGAATATTTGACCCCCCCCATTGTACTTCGTCTGAGAAGCGTTGAAAATAAATGACTCCTCTTCCGTTTTCCATTTATATCCTAAAACCATACAAGAAAAAAATGAAGAAATATGTCATAATGTTCTGAAATCACTTTCCATAAAGGTTAATGCGAAAAAACTATCAACCTGGGAAGTTATGTACATATTTGATATACCTATTTATTGAAGTTCAAATAAGAAAATGTCACATGCGCATATGATTTATTTATAACGGTAATTGAAAATTTCTCAATATACGATCCATCTTTAAGGTTACGACTGTTCATATCGCTAGCATCATATATCACCATTAACGTTTGTAATAAAACTATGATATTGTAGCTCCGGAATAGCCTTCCCGTCAAACGGATCGGTTTGTTAGAAATGCTATGGCGGTCGGCAGTTGGCTAATATCCGTTATTTTATTGTAGAGAAATTGCGTCGTTAAGAGATCAGTAGCTGTACGCGGAAAATAAATCAGGGATCATATTTGTAAACATGTCTAGCGCAGACCTTAATATTGATGGAAACTATCAATATTAATGGCCAAAGCGCGATTCGTTTCCGTCCATATCATCTGCCTTGCGCTACCCGCTCTCCAAGTGGTATGACAGCCTATTTATGCCTGCTAAATATTTTATAAACATCATTTATTAATATTTATACGACATTACCTTCTAGGAATAAATTGATAAAGATCCACAACAGGGGGCGATCAATAAAATTGTACGGGTAATATTTTTGTAATACAGAAAGGGTGATTTTTGTGACCATTTTGATCCCCCGGGGTTGGGAACGTGCAAGACGAATTGAATTGTATTGTGTTGGATAATGGCGGACCTTGGGAGGGGGTATAAAATATTGTCTGGGAAGATTCCTCCCTGATGAACATTTATATCTATAAAGAAAAATATGAGGCTCCTATTCAGATTGTCTTTGTTCAGTGGGTCTTGAGAACCCATTAATAAAAGAGGAGGGTGTGTTATTGTGTAGCGTTGACAAATCGTACTTATTTAAACGACCGTGGTGGTTCCATGTGGGGTTCGTTTAGCTCATAATTCTTTGGAATTTCCTTTTTTTCTTTACAACAGTGCTGGTGACAGTTATACTGGAACTAAACAAAACACTATTAATCACAATTAAGTCTCCTCAAATTTAATGAATTACAAATTTAAAACAAAACAAAACAGGCACATACACAAACAAAAAATAAATCAGAGAAAAAAATATGACTGTGATTTCATCCTTGAAGGCAGCAAGTGGAAATATATTCTTATCAAAGTGTTTAATGTTTTAGAATTTTGTTTTTATTTAATTCTTCATCAAAATACAATTCTGGAAGTTTGACAGCTTTTTTTTAATTCTTGATTAATTTGACAGCAATTCAGAGCTTTACAAATTAAAATTATATTTTCAAGATCGTTGGATTGTGCGATTACTTTATAGTGATATTTACAGTTATCTCCCTTCATATTACGAGCCGCATTCTTTGCGATTCAATTTCAAATATAGCTCGTGGTTGTTTTAAAATCCAATGTTATATATCTGATAGTTTTCGCGCCATACTAACACAGACTTTGACGATAAAATGATTGCAAACATTTTGGTTGGAAATCTGGAAAATAGTCATTTTCATATGCTGTAAACTGCATGTTATTTCTTTTCTAATGACAAACAATTACAGAAGACATCATGCGTATTAAGGTTCTACTAAGTGTCGATTATCTCAATACTGAACAATTATAAAGTGGAGCCTCACATATATCTTATGATATGTTTCTTTAAACTGAAAATGTGTTTCCAGGAATATTTTGTAAAGTAAAGTCTCACATATGTCCGACAATCTGTCTTAGTGAATTAAACATGTGTAATCAGGAATATTTTGTAAAGTGAAGTCTCACACATATGTCCGACAATCTGTCTTAGTGAATTAAACAT